TAATATTGTATATAATAAATTATGAGCGACCGTTCAAAATTCATATTTTGAGCTAAAAAATTTTTCTTTTTTGGGGTATAAAATTCTACCGTCACGAGCAAAAAAAATCGAATTTTGACTAATTTTGAAAAAAAAAATTTTTGAGCTGCCCTTTTGAGGATGGTCTTAAAAATCGATTAATTAACTTATTTTCGTAGTCATTTTTTGCGCTACCCAATTGTACAGGATAAATATGAAAATAGACAATGAGAAAGAAGTTTAAACAATAATTTTTGTATCTGGAGGTTTCTGTTAGATTTATTATCAATTATCTAAAAAAATAATTATCTTTTGATACTATTCAGTTTCACATCACGTCCTGTCATATCTTTCATATAGTGAATGAGAATAAACAATAAATCAAAAATAACAAAACAGATGAAGGGATTGTTTATTTATTTTTGGTTGTTAGTTAAATTAAAAAAACATATAAACATGTATATTTAAAAACAGTAATGTATATTTTTACCTACCTTTGTCTTACAACTTATAGTATTTCTTTAACCCTGTAATGCATGTGTCCGCCTTTGTGAAGACTTTATTTTTCTTCTTCATTAAATGCAATTTACCCATATTCAAGACTTATATCGGCAGATATGTAATAAGCATTTAATATGTGTTAATGATATTTTGAGTAGAAGAAAAATAATAAAGTGCGCCTCAAGGCAGACATGTATTGGGTTAATAAACTCTTCAAAATATGCATTATTTCCAAGTACAATCTGTATACCTGTTCAAATTATAACAATCGATTTTAGATGAATCTGAAACTTTTTATTTTTTCTCTTACCATATTTCTTATTAACACTAACTGTTTTATGATTTCAGAAATTGAAATTTGACCATCCAGCAGTAAAATGATTGTGCTGAATGCCTATACGAGTGTAACTGCAGCATGGAGATATTACACCACTTTCTAGAAATAACTTCAATTTCAATGGTTTTCAAGCTGCTCTTCAAATTTCTATAGTAATTAAATAAAACTGACTCTGTGCTTGTTTCGCTTTTTACAGAATTTACCTCTTTATGTAAATTACATTCTAATTACGTTTTAATTAAAAATCACGCATTCAAGTTGTACTGTCAAAAGCTAAACTGCAGCTTTTATTTTTAAATTGTTTAGTCTTTAACTCTAGATTGACAGCGTTACTCAGTGATCTTTTGTTTCCTGCAATACGTCAACTTTACGTGTTCATTTTAAAAAGAAAGAAACTCTCATTGAATCGCTTATTTCAGAAACAACCTAAGTCACTTTTTGAGAGTTTTCAGGAGGTGAACTAGGACATAATCTAACTTTTACAACACATTTAAAAATCTTAATATACTTGTCTTATTGTGATGCTCACCACATACTTATAGGTTTCATGCAAATTACACATTTTGAAAATACTTTTGAGTTCTTTCTTGGGTAGTGTTTGATGTAGGTTATTGTGAATTTCCTGCCACTTTAGAAGGCTCGTTTTTGGATGGCTTATTGTTTGCAGATATAGATGAATTAGACATATTTATTAATTATAAAAGTAACAAAAACGTCTACATGCTTTTAATTCTAAAGATAGTATATCTAAAACGTCGATGTGATAGAAACGGAGAGTAAGGAGATATGGAGGACCTTTGAAAATATACAAGTCAAATGGGGTACACTGACAATCTAGGGTTAAATAAAATGAGTGCATTTACAGATAATCTTGAATATTCAAAAGAATTGCTAGTGTTTTATATGGTTGTTTAATTTTGTGATGTCTATGATTTTGTATTATAGGAATTACAAAATGATTCAGATTGTAAAAAGGAATTTGATGCTAGATTTATTGTAAAATTAATGTTGTTAAATTTTTATTATGCAGTGAGGGGAAATATAGGTTGAAATAAATTCGATATTTTTCTGTCTAACAGTATGACGTTATGTTTACGAAAGTAGTGACGCCGGCGCCGTTAGTACATCCAATTGTAGCGTATCACGTGCTGTTGAAAATGAAAATTGACGTGTGAAAGCATTTGGTTAAAATACAGTTAGAAAAATATTAAATTTATTCCAACCTATACGTTTTCACCGAATATTTTTGTGTAAATGTTACGTTGATCAGCGTCGTAGCTAGGGGCTGGTCCCGGAGGCAGATGCCAGCGACGCAGAGCTCCAGGGGGATTTGCAAACCCTCAGACTGCAGGCCGCTGGGGCACAGGCACATTAAGATATTACCTAAAATTAAAAAAAGCCTATGCTAATTTGCACTTAAATATCCCTGCAGATATCACATTTTGAGAGTGTTATTTCAAATAATTGTTTTATTATTGTATCCTTCCTCACCCATTTGATTAAAATTGTAGTCACTTTTTATAAACTTTGAGGAGTGGAGACAGTACTCCTCCCCAAGGACATCCCCTCACACCTTTGCTTACTATATATCGTCTCTCACATATAGTAGCATTCTCCCTCTTAGCATAGAGTTAATCCAGGTCACACAGGTGTCCTCCATTCCTATCCGATTTTCCCAGGTTTTGGTATAAAAGTAACCCTAATGTGTCGCCATTCTCTTGTTATGTATCCAAAGGCCAGCCTACTTCTGAGTATACTGCAGAGTATTCTGTATAAAAAATATCAGGTCTTCTTTGTAGCATTATTGCAAAAATCCCGTGGATTGTCACAATCATTATGTTTTAGGGGGCGCAAAATTGAAATCTTGTCTTGGACGCTCATGATCTAAGCTACGGCGCTGACGTCAATGGCGGATGGTATTCCTCGGATCGGCACAAGAAGTTACTTGAAATGGCGCCGCGCCAATTCTTTTCAAATTGTTAAAAAATCAAGAAGAAAAAACTGAGGCGACGCCTATCGTCGCCAGTTGGATCGGCCAACCGGGAAATTCCCGTTGGGGCCATAGGCCCCTGGCTGATGTTGATTTTCATTGATAAGTAATTTTAATCCATTGAATTTGCCATGATTTTATTTTTAATTCAAAATGTTTTTCCTATTATATATTCTTTATTATGTATGTTTCTTTTAAATATTCTACAATGTCTTTTATGCCTTTATTATATCTCAAATTGTATATTTTTCATAATTAAACACCTCGTTTAACTAATTATATCCTTTTATTTCCTTAATGATATTAATTTTAAAGCTTTGTGGCAACACAGAATACAAAAATGTATAATGTTGGTTGCCTATTTTTACAAGAGCCATATATTCACGGGCATGCGCACGTGGGATGTATGCTGTTAAATGCATAGTCAACCAATATTACGCATTGGTGTATTCGATGTTGCCTATCAACTACAAAATTTTTAATATTTAAATAATTACCATAGAGATAAACGGAAAAAGAGCACTCAATCCAGCTACCTTGTATAATTCAGGACAACGCAAAATTAATTACGATACCTACTCGCTCTTCTATTATCCTGATACAAAATTCCAAATTCGAAAAGATCCAATTTTGTCTACAAAATTTTGGTATGAGGATAGCAGAAACGCGACAAGGTATTTGACTTATTTTTAAATGTAAATAACTACTAAACGGCGCAAGATAGAGGCAAGCGGCAAAAGGCATTTTAAACTATCCGTCCGGCTCTACCTTTATGTGAATTTATGGAATAATTCGATCATTATTAACTGAGGAAATAAGAAAAATAAGTTAACCCTTATAGCTAGGGAGCAACTGAGTTCACCCCTTAATTGCTCGTGCTTTCCTTTATATGTACCCCAATTTTCATCAAGATCGGACACAAAAAAATTTTTTGTCGAAAAATTTGGAAGGCTATACCCTTTCGATTTTCTTGAAAAAATAAAAAATTGTTTAAATTTGCATACGGATAGAGGGTCACATGTAGATCCTAAAAATACACTCAGTTTTTTTCTAACAGCAATATTAAAAAAGGTATGGCCAAAATAAAAATTTTCGATATCTCCTCGCGTTTCTATTATCCTGATACAAAGTTCCGAATTCGAAAAGATCCAATTTTGTCTACAATCAATGAACTGGAGTGGGGTAGAATGCTTGTCAATAGGCTTGAGATGCGACTCTATGGGCGAAGACAGGTTATTTTTCATTTCACTCGGGAGTATTTATAACAACCATTTTCTATTTCACTTTGTTATTGTCTGATCCACCAGCTTGTGGATTATAAAACATAATTCAAAAATAATGGTGAATAAATACTAACATTAAATAATTTGACAACAAAATAGTACCTAATTTTATAAGTGGTGGCGTGGCGAGAATTAAAAAATTGCGTTCGTGTACTTTACTCTGCTGCGTTCGTATATTTTACGTTGTGTATTCTATTCTGCTGCGTTCGTGTAGTTTACTCTGCTACGTTCGTGTATCAATTCTCTACCAAAATTATGCTTCGTTCGAATTTTAAATAGGATTATTTTGAGAGAAAAAAAATAACTTTTACAAAATTAAAAAAACTAGGAAGTGGAGGTCAATTAGAAATTCAAGTCGTTAAATTACAGAGAAGAGGAACACAATAACATTGTAAATTTAACAATATATCTAATAATGGAATGTTTTATCCATCTAATCTCAAAAGAAATTTGAGTAATACTCTATTCAGCTTCTAACGTCTGAACAGGGATTTTTTTTGTGCAAACTTAAGTATCAATAGAGATAATTGCGCCTCAACATTACGCAAGAACCGTAGCGTTTCGAATGAAGATAAGCATGTGGATATCTGATGTTTCGAAAGATGAGAATCCCAGTGCTGGAATTAACAGAACTTTCCCATGCAAGTTTTCATTGATCCTAATATCTAAGTCTTTATATTGAGCCCTTCTAGTTCAAAAAGGTAGGTATAATAAAAACCACATACAAATTAAATTATATTTAACAAAAACTGTTTAGAAATATATTTATATTAAGACTAAATTCAGCATTGATTTTTAATGATATTGATGAAACATCAAAATTTAATCTTAAAATAAAAATAAAATAAATTTAAATATCAAATAAAAAGTACTGAGTATAAAATGAAACAATATTAAAAATAAAACCTAATCAGAAAAAAAAAATACTATACAAAGGACTTGGCACTTAACTCTACAGCTTTACAAAAGACGCCACAAAATCTGCACCACAGCAAATATTACGCATAATCTACCTAAACAGTAAGTATAATGTTTTTACTAAATTTAATATGTAATTTCGTATTCATCCTAACTATAACTGGTATAGTTTCATTAAAATAAAATTGACAACAGCTTTCGAGGTGCAAACTTAATGGCGGTAAATTTATCATTACAAATTAAAAATGAACGCAGCATTAAGAACTAATTACTGTTTTCTTTATCTGTTAGTTCCTGGTACCGAGCATACATCATCTTCTTCACGCAATCTTTGTACGACTCGCCAGCCAATGCCGTATAACCCGGCAGCTTGTTTCCTAGTCCCACAGTGCTACTGTGTTGCTCAGCCTACGAAAAATAACAAAATCATTGCCCTAAGTAAAATTTTGAATAGTATATACATTACTTACAACAGAAGGGAATACAACATGCTTTTTGTCAAAATGAATTGTGTTAATATGCGATCAAATAAAACATATGCTCTACCTGAATAATAGTAGTTCTTCCTTGATTCTGTTTTCCCAATCCCTGTCCTTCTGTCCACCCCATTTTCTGCAGCAGGCGATTGCCGACATTTTCAGCTCCAATGGGTTCTGTAACGGATGCTGTCGGTAGAGGAATGTCGGCATCCCTAGCTTTCAGATATTTCTCTTTTAATTTGCTGGGTTTTGGGGCATCTGGATCGCCGTATTTCATTCTCCTTTCTTTGGCTCTGTCGCGATATATGATTTTATCATTTGCTTTCTCGCTTTTTTTCTTATTGCGCGCATCGAGATTTTGTTTGTGAAGGGCGGAAAGCTTAGCGTGCTTGGTAAGCGCTTCTATAGATCCTAATTGTCGTTTACACAAATTGCAAATTAATTTTTGGTAATCTAGAAGTTCTTCCTCTTCATCACCTGAAAAATCATAGTAACCAATAGTTATGTAGTATTTAAAGTATTATTGAATGTTAACAGAACAAATTATATTGCATTTTACAACACATTGAAAATGATTATTTTGAGTCTTACCAGAAGAATCGCTTTCGCCTCCATAAGCGGCGACTAGTGGTGTTCCCGATGATGAAGATGGGGCTGCAGCTGCAGATGTGCTGGGTTCTTCAACTTCTTGTGTAAAATATGGCGCTGAAGAAGGCAAGGGTGGTACTAATGTTTTCTTCTCAAGCACAGAAAATCCAATGTCGGCTGATGCACTACTAGAACTAGTGTTATAATCAGCTGCTGCTTTATAGAAAGAATTATCCTTCTTTTGGTTAAGAGTTTTCGCCCACCGTTCCATGTCTTTTGCAATTTTTTTAGCAACTTTGACTTTATCTTGTTTTTCTATTTTTTGTTTCTTATTATCAGGCTCTTGAGTGGGTCCAGCCTCTGGATAAGATTGAGGATTCTGAGAAGAATCATACATTGGAGCTAAACTGTAAGTATGCTTATCGTGATCCCAATACAACCATTTTTGTATCTGGCTATTCCAATAATAAGTAGAGTTTGGGTCATAGTAAAGTCCCGTTGTTGAACAGTATTGATAACCAGTTGATTTGTCATATACGTAACGAGACACATCAGGAACAGCTAAATATGAAAATGTAATTAGTAAACTTGAAAAACTCAATTGAACAACATATACTTACGATACTTCTTGCAATCAGTACCAGAAGGGGGAACTTGCTCATAGTAAGTAGGAGTAGTTTTGTTAGCAGCTAGTTGCTGAATGGCAGATTGAGCTACGGCTGCAGCGGCATTGGCAGCATCCATTTGGTTTTCTTGAAGTGTGATGGAATTACCTGCACTAATTTGCTGACTGAAAAAATTCCTATAATATTCAATATAAGACATGTACTCTTGAGGTGTTTTAGCGTACCGCCTAGCAGCATATTCTGCCAAGCTATCAACGTCCGTCATAGCATAAGTGCTAGGAACCGCGGCATTTGGGAAAGCTTCATGATCTGCTTGTGAATAGGCCTTTTTTGTATCGCCCATATTATATTTACAGTAAGATAATATCACTGAAAAATGTAATAATCATTTTTTTTGTTTGAAAACGACAACACACAATAACTTACCAGTTTTTCCATCAATATTTAATGGTGTTTTAAGGTTATTAAGCGAACCAAAAATTGCCAGAGCATCTATAGTACTCTCTGTTCCAAGATAACATAGTCCCCTAGATGTAGAAGTTAAAGGATCTCTTCCGATGCATACAGCTGAAATACTTTTTACTAAATCAGGAATAGCTGTACTAAGAGCAGACATAACCGAGTCCTCTGTTGTCAAAGCGTCCAAATTTCTCATCATAATTGCTGAAAAAACAAAAGACTATACATCTAAACAGAAACAGGATGGAAAAATACTAACTCTTTGTGGCATAGTTACAAATTTCGTCACTTCCACTACCTCCTTCTTCACTCTCTGTTCGAGAAGCATGACATTTGAAACAATTGTCTCTTCTCTTAAAATTTTGAGCCCCACACTAAAAAAAAAAATATGGAGTAAGTTGCTGTTATAGGTGAATAAGTGTTGGTTAGTTTGAACCACTGATTTTATAAATAACCTACTGAATAAAGTCAAGTTGTCCCTCAAGACTCACAGATAGATCCATTCTATCTATTTACAGATTCGGCTTACATTTTTATTGGATATAGGGCAAAAGAAGATATTTATATGAAGCGAGAATAAGAGAGAGAAAGCAGACGTAGGGCATTGGCAATCCCACTATTCTTTGCGACGCCGACCAATCTCATTTGTTCACTCCAAACAAATTCAGTCTAGATCAGATCGAGTTCATAGCAAGTGAAGGTAAAACAATATATTGGAATTAAATTTGAAAATAGGCCAATTTTTACGGATAATGCAGTTCGTGCAATTATAGCAAAATTTGATAATGCTTTAATAATTTCAAAAAGTGTCTAGGCAACCGCATCGAAATCAACAGAAGTTGACTTGAAAGAGAGACGGGTACGAAATATTTTAAAAATAAATGGTTATTCCCGTTTTACGGTACATACCACTCAAGAATTTTTTTCTGGCAACCATTTTAAACGGATGGAGTTTTGCCAGATAATGATGAAAATAACAAATCAAAATATTAATTTTTTGAAAAATATTTTATTTACAGATGAGTCTTCTTTCGCTATCCATAGAAAACTTAATCCATCCGTTTTACGCTACCAATAGCAGGAAAACCAATTGCAGGAGAATAAACACTCAAGTGTAGCTGGACTCTCACACAATATTCACAAAAGTTGAAGGTATGGGCGGGAATCCTGGGAGATAATGTCATTGGTACTTTTTCATTCAGGTAACCTGAATGCACAGAAGTGCATAACTACTTAAAAATTACAAAATTCCTACAGACAGGTCAACTTCATTGACATTTTGTTCCAACAACTACCTACCTAAGTCAACTTCACTGACATTTGGTTCCAACAACTACCTACCTACCTAAATAAACAATTTCACAATCGAGTTATTGGTACCAGAGGCCCTATAAAACGGTCGCCAGCACAAAGCACATAGAGGTTCCACGTGAATGACCAAGGTCAAAACCGACAACTGACATTTTTTATGCTATTTGCTCCAAACTCTAGATGGGGCTACTGGTGAAATTATGATTTCTTACTCCATTTTTAAGCTTTATGGGAGAAAAACTAACCAAAGACGTGACGTGTATTTATTTATGTTCTTGGTTAGTCTCATTTTTCCGTCTGATTTTAGTGATTTTTTGTTGGTTTTGGCTTTTGGTATCTGTTTATAGTTTCGTCTTAGTTATTTGCAAAATTGTGATGTTTCGCTTTTCCTACTGTTTTGCAATAATTTTGGTGCTACGTTGAAAACTTCGAGAAAAACTTCATTGATTCACCATGCATCTGCATCATAAGACAAACGGGTACAACAACTAATTGATAATCAATTTATCACTGGACTAGATTCCGAAATCATTTTTCACATAAGAGAGTAATCTGAGTAATACCACCATCTGTATTTGGAAGGAAAATACCTATTTATCATTGAATGAATAGTTAAAAGGATTCACCTTTTAATACAATACCTATATTACATTTGTCCTCGGTTAAAAAGACATTTATAAAATATATAACTTTAGTGTTAATAAAACGTAATATCCTAGTCTCTACTTCACATTTAAATTATTGATAGGTATTTTAAAGATTTGAGATTATATATCTATTTGCTCCAAGTAAGTATTCGTTAAATATGTATTATTATTTGTATTTATTTTTATCTAATATTTATTTAAGTTATTAATAAACATATTTTAATAATGTTCTATTTTATTATTTATTGATATATCTTATATTTATTTAATAATAATATGCAGAACCAACTCTCTGCATCAGACCCCTTATAACAAATTATTTCCTCAAATTTGGTATAATCGACCTAAATTATTTTGTAAAATAAAAATTTCGACCTTACTAGTTCCATACTTTATTTTATAAAATAGTTTATGTGGAAATCATTTAAAATTTAATTTAAAACTACTACCTACTCCTAAAAATTACAATTTGAATTTACCGCCATCTGTCAATTGTCATTTTAGTTCCAGCTCCAAACACAAGGTGGCGCTAATTTGGTTTAAAAGTTTAACATTGGCGTGGGGTCTCTAGAAGATACGTGCTTTGTGGTCGCCAGACTTAGCACCTTAATTTTTATTTTTGGAGAATGCTTATAAGCAATTTATACAGGTGTGAGTTCAAAGGAGCTACCAACTTGGATGAATTACTACAATTACAGTTCAGTCCTCAAATCACACCCAAGCAACTCAGTGCTATAAGAAAAGAATTGTATAATAGGTTTGGTTTTTGTTTAACCCAAGCTGGTGGTTTGTTCGAACCACTCTTGTATTGTTTTTTATTTGATAAGAATGTTTAATTTTGAGTAGTTTTTTTTTTTGTTTATTTTTTGCCAGTATTATTGTTTTATTTTTCACGTCTGTTATGGCTGAAAAGGAATCAAATAAATAAGATATGAGATATTATTTTAAAAGATACTCCTGCAAATGCTAAATTCAGGTGTACACCTAAACGCATATTGTACACATTACTGAACTTAATAAAATCAAATTTACACCTTGGATGTGCTGGGAGAATCTACTGCTCACTAATCAATTCATTATAAAGTGGGATATAGCACGTGCTCGATTTTTATGAAGCTGTCACTGTTTCTTTTAATTTGCAATACCCAATAAAAATTTAAGCAGAATCTGTATATATTAAAGACATTACTCTGGACAAAAAGTGCTACTATCTTAAGAAGCTTAAATTTACTAACAAAAAAAAGTTGACTATTAGTAGAATGTTTATAAAATCAATGATTTCTTTGTAAAAATAATACCTTTATACAGAACCAATCAGCTGATGCCTTATAGGAAGGTGGTTTGTCAGAAGAACCCAGATCCTTTGGTATGCTATATTGCATTATAGCACGATATTGGTCTTGAAGCATTAACACCCCCTGAAAGGACATAGAATAATTAATGTACAATCTTTGTGAACCAACTACCCCTCTTTCTAAAGAGACCCTTTTGCTGCCTAGAAATGCAAAATGTCTGATAAGTACTGTCAAATATATATGGCCGCATTCATTCAGAATTGCTTTATAAATATTTAATATACGATTTTTTTTTTTTTAGTCAATAATATTTATTAGTAGTATATGCAGTACCTTAGCTGAACCCCTTAAAAATGAGCGTCATATTTAAAATTGGTAACTAACTCCAAGTAATGTTAAATAACACAAGAAACCTTCCCTTATTTTTCTAAAATATTCATTATTTTGGTATACTGGGCTCATTAATTCTTACAAATTAATTGCACATTTTGATAAATCCTACTAAATAACTAAGTTACTTTCAAATTTCGCACATGAATGTTTAAAACTAAAATTCATTTAGGACTAATACTGTTAAGCAAGCGGTTTCATAATTCTGATGGTGTATGTACAAAATTTGAAAGGAATTTGATGTGACTTGAAAATAATGGAGTTAATAAAAGGCAAAAGAGCGGCCAAAGAAAAAGTAATAATAATAAATAATACTTATCGAGTCGCAGGTAAAATGATAAGAGTCTTCTTTAAATTAAGATACCTGTTTAATCTCCATCCATCGAACAGCCTCACCCAGAGTGGCAAACTCGACAAAGGCGAAACCGCGGGAAGCACCTAAACAGCACAATAGATACCAATGGCATTACCCGACCTTATGAGGTGATATATTCACAATAAACGGCCTAAGAAAACCTTAATAATTATTTATAAATTACATTATTACCTGTGTCTTTTTTCCTGATCAGCCGAATATCCTTTGGCATCAATTCACAGGATATGATGTCCTGTCTTATCTAAAATTTAAAAAATACTTCATCACAGATCACAGCAAGTTTACTTCTTTTTAACTTTTTATTATATGGAAATTACAAACACACCGTCATAATTCACCATTTTCATTTTTCATTATACATGAATATGAACTTTAAAAAAATACAAAAAAAGTTATGGAGAAATTTACTTTAGAGTTTAGATTTGAGTATGGGCAATTTCAAAATTAGACATTCCAACGACTTGTCAAAACAGGTAATGACAGATTGATATGGCAACCCTGTGGACTTGGCGATTTGACAGACTCAATGCTATAGATCTATACATGCTGCGTTTGAGAATCCACATCGGATACATTTTTTACATCTCGAGCGTTTTTTTATCCACATCGGACACATCTGTCCCATTACATTTACGTATACTGCATCACGTGATCAAAGATTTTTTACATCTCAGATGCATCCGATGTGGATTCTCAAACGCAGCAATAGATTGATCATCCGTGTTTTAAAATAAATATTTGTTGCGTTTGAATATCCACATCGGACCTAAGTACCGATTCCACCGTTGTGTTAAACGAAGTTTAAAATGACATTTTTACATTAACAATGTCATTTTAATCTCCGTTTAACACAACGGTGGAATCGACCCTAAACGAAGATTAAAATGACATTTTACCTTACCAAGATCATTTTAATCTTCGTTTAAGACCGATTCCACCGTTGTGTTAAATGAAGTTTTAAAATGACATTTTTACATTAACAATGTCATTTTAATCTCCGTTTAACACAACGGTGGAATCGGCCCTTAGTAATTTAAACTTCGTTTAACACAACGGTGGAATAGGCCCTTAATAAAATAAAACCAATTTTCATCCTTTGAATATAATAAAAAAAAAATTACCTACACTTTTATTTCAAGGCATAAGCTTATAATTTATTTTGAAAAATATGGATAATCAATCTATATAACTATCTATAACATTGACCCTTTTAAATCACAAGGTCTACAGGGTTGCCACATCATAACCCACGGGCAATCATTTTGTTTGGAATTCTCCAATCAGCAAAACAGGTAATACAGGCTCAGAGAAAACAAAGACATCCTATATTTAGACGTCGACAATTAATGTATTTATGTATATATATATTTAAATCAGGGAATTTTCCTCTTGTGTTGAAAATGTCTATATTTGCTTTCACGATTGGGTAAACAACCATTTGATCTAGATTTCTGATGAATATGGGACAATTTAGGATTCAAAACATTCTTAAATTACGATTCGTAGTAAAGCACATGATATTACATTACTAGGGAGTTTTAGCAAACAGCCGCTAACCATCCGCTAACGTTACCTTAGGGATAGACTGTAATCTACTCCGTTCAATCTTTACGAAAAAGCTCACAATCTAAGTTTAACGTAACGTTAGCGGAAACCTTACGTACATTTGCTAAAACTCTACTAATGCTGCGTTTGAGAATCCACATCGGATGCATCTGAGATGTAAAAAATCTTTGATCACGTGATTCAGTATACGTAAATGTAATGGGACAGATGTGTCCGATGTGGATAAAAAAACGCTCGAGATGTAAAAAATGCATCCGATGTGGATTCTCAAACGCAGCATAATACTAGCGTGATCGTCAAGAAAAAATACTGCTTCAATTAATGAAGTTGTGTTGTTAACCTATCAATATACAAGATCTCGTCTTGTTATAGATCTTTAACCATACAGTGACAAGTGACGTGACACATTAGGTCTTTTCCTTTGCATCGAAAGTGTAGCACTGAGCTACACCACTTCTGAAAATATCGTTCCATTTATACAAATTGTATGGATGGAACAATATTTTCAGAAGTGACGTAGCTCAGTGCTACACTGTCGATGCAAAGGAAAAGACCTATTTTAGGCATTACAAACAAAATGGCTACCAGTAAAATTTGACAGGTTATGATATATCAAAATTATGGCAACCCTGTAGGCCAGGAGCGCGTTCAGATGATTTTACACGGGAGTAGACTAATTTTCAGATCGTTTGCCCAGGTTAGTCTAGAGTAATTCTCATTGGCCCAAAGTTTCTGAACGGTAACGAAAGTAAACGTCAACGAATTTGAAATTTAAAGTTTGTTACAGATATTTTATAATGTTCAATGTCCCATCCTTCCCGTTGTAACTCGTGTCTCGTGTAGTTTTACTTTTTACTCATAGTTTTTTTTTCTTTTTATTTCAATATTAACCTATTCACAACCCTATTTACAATCAAGATTATAATGAATGATCTATAAAGTCAATAAGACAAGAAATTTTAGATTATTTATTTTAAAATTCCATGTACAAACACCTTTATGACACACAAAAATAATATGAAACAACAACTTCTGCAAAAGAACTCTACGTTCTGTCAAATTCACTCAAATGAACCCAGTCTAAAGAGGGTAAAAAAGAGTGTACTCCAGACTAATTTGACTTGACTTTCTGAACGAGAGTAAATAAATGCCCAAATTGAACGCTTGACTGGGGGGCTATTTTCAAACTCGAGAGAATTCATTTCTCTCAAGAGAAATGTCATACGTCAACGTAAAACAGTATTTTTAGGGCTCTTAGGGCCAGTGTGAACTCACTGATTGTTTCTCTCGGTTTATTTAGAAATAATTAAAATTCTCCTAGGAATTTTAATCCTTGAGGCCTTTAAAAACAGGGTTTCTACATTGACATATGACATTTCTGATGAGAATCTTGAGAGAAATGAGTACTCCCATACTTTGAAAATAGCCCCCCAGTTCTTGAACGAACCAAGACCAAATTGATCGCACTCTTTTTGGTCAGAGCGTGTTTCCTGAACGCGCTCCTGGTGATTTGACAGGGTCAATGACATAGATAGTTATATAGATTGGTCATCCATATTTTTCAAAATAAACATAAGCTTAGGCCTTGAAGAAAAAATGTAGGTAATTAGTTTTTTTATTATACTCAAAGGCTGAAAATTGGTTTGTAAACACATTTTTACTAAACCAATTCTGATTAATGAGCACTTGTGAGGCAATATGGCCACCCGTTTTGATCAATCTATATAACTATATATCATTGACCCTGTCAATGACAAAAGGCCCACAAGGTTGCCATAGGCGAGTTCGGATAGTCAGGGGCTGGAGCGGGACAAATTTTAGGGTGCTTTTAAATGACATTTAAGCGTGTAAAACTGTCACTAATCGGACTAAACCGAACGCTAAAAGGGTCGTTTGGAGTTAAAAGTGTTAAAGGAACTTGGCAGACCGAACGCAATGATTATCTAAACTGTCAGTCCCCACTTGTCAGCATTTTGACAGGTCGTTGGAATGTCTTTTGAGGTTATGATTCTTATTTTAACATGACTTGTGTAAATTAATTTTTGTTGTAGATGTAAAATGTACATACGTCATATTCGGTAATGTGCTGAGCAAGTCCTCTAATCATAATGGTATTATTTGGCGGCTGACTTTTGTAACCAATTATTTCAGCTCCGCTAGCTCCAAGTGGTGCACTTCCAGGGCTTCGTTCACTGTCAAAATCATAAGAGCTATTAAATACACAAAGGTCTAAATAAATTCTAGAACCATTCCGTAAATCCTATACCTATCACTGTCCCTATCATCGTCCCTATATCGATCCCTGTCACGTTTTCTGTCTTCAGATTTTCTCTCCCAACGTGAACTGCCACTCCTAGACCTACGTCTGCGATGATCCCTGTCCCTACGGTAGTGACGTCTTTCTCTCTCCCGGTAATCGGGACTGTGTGACCGCTTCTTCTCTCTATCTCCTTCATAGGCATCCCTTTCGCGATAGGACTCCCAATCACTTTCATAGTCACTTTCTCTTCTTTCGGTATAATCATGATGATCTATAATGGAAACAGTTTCTTTATAATCTTGTTACATATTCGCAAATGTCAAAATGTGTCTACAAACTTAAGCAACCAACTAATTTTAAAAAAAATAAAGTAACATTGAGACGATGTTAAGATTTTGAATAAAATAATTCAAAGATTTTCTTTGATTACCTAATAGTTCATAGAAATTAGAAAATTATTTACATCAGTCGATAGTATTTGTAAATACATATATAAAAGATGTAGTTCTTAAACTCAAATTCAACCATCCATGATTCCCCTCAACCTTTACACAATTATGTCCCTTTTTCTATTTAAATTTTGGGGATGCTTTTTAAATTTGAGAGAAATAGTATTTTAATCCATATTATGTAATTTCCTTAACCCGTATTTTAAAACACCTTACTGAAAGAGTTGTTTGTTCCCATTGATCTAAATGATTATATTTAAATCAATAATTGTTTCCCTTTCCCCGCGGCTAATCCTGTGGTTAAATACTGATCAGAAAATTCTTCAATGGAATGTTATATTCCAAGCAATTCTGACCTTAGATCATAAGAGATTGATAGGTAATCGCTTTTGGAGAAACATAACCTACTAAACCATTTATTAATTAATATAGATGAGGTTGTCAATTGAACAAAAAAATATACCATAACTATTATTTGTTACGATTTAATTTTTGCAAAATGGAGAATGGACTTGATCCCAGTACCCCAATCACAGCACCATCATTGAGCAAGGATATAATATATATAGTGTGAAGTGTGAATGTATGAACCACAGGAAGAATCTGAATCTAATACACCGAATGAACACAGCTAATAGGGTATGAGTTGTCAATAACAATGAATCAACTAGCATAATGCTCCAACATAAAAAGTGCAATTCTTTCAAAAAAGAGTCTGGGTTTTTTTTTTGTAAAAATAAATTCAAGGGTGTCTGGGGAAAACTGAATACCGCCCAAATGTCCGGGGTTTGTCAGGTTTTTATCCGACGTCGGCAATTTAGGTGATTGTAGATCTCTATACTATAATTTTTTTTAACAATGTATTTGATTGATTTGAATATCAAAATTCCTTATATGGCGGATTTTTTAAAACATTTAAGACTTTATTTCTGTTTTGAATGAAGATGTTCAGAGAATTTTGTGAGATCTAAAAGGAAATACTATGAAAATGTCGAGTATAAATGTCAGTCAGTGCAAGTGGCTAAATTTCACAATGATTTTTCTTGATGGCTCGTTATTTATCAGAACAGAATGTGCTTTAAAAATTTCTGTAGCGACTTGTTTTTTCCTGTCACATTTAGTTTTAAACTGCCCGCTTATGCAGTCAATGCTGTCAGATCTTAACAGTAAATTGATTTAAATCAGGATTTCAATCGTGCATTGTTGCAGATAGTTGTTAGAGCCTAGTATGTAAGTGTATGGAAAATTTAATAATATTTCCATATCATAATCAGCGGCGGCTGGTGCATTAGTGCTGTAGAGCTGCAGAACTGCCAAAAAATGAAAGTATCTCATCTACATTTCACATAAATTATTTTATGGATAATCTCATTAATTTTAATTATTAAATAGTAAATAATGTGTGTGTGCAATGCACCACTTGGGCTGCCGCCCCCTCATCGTCTCCTTTAGTTGTTCTAGTAGTCTTGATGGGCATATACCTGTCAAAAAGATTATCAAGTTTGCGAACAGCAAAACTTTCTTGTCGAACAGTATTTTAATAAAAAATAAAAAAGGCGTATTGAACAATTCTACTTTAAAATTTTTCAATAAGTAGGCCTTTTTTATTTTTTATTAAAATAATGTTGACAAGAACGTTTCGTTGTTCGCAAACATGTTAATTAATCTTTTTGATAGGCATATGCCTATCAAGACTACTAGAACAACTAAAGGATACGATGACGAGCGGGCGGCGGCCCAAGCGGTTCAGTACACTAACACTATTTACTAATTAATAATTAAAATTAATGGGATTATCTATAAAATCTATTTTACATATATTTTAGCTGCATGTCTAAAATAATTTCTGTGAAATAATGTAAATGAGATACCTACTTGCATTGTTTCTGCAGTTCTGCAGCTCTACCGCACTTATGACACGTCATAATGCATAATTAATTTCCATGTATTATGACATTAAGGACAAGCAAAAGCTATGTTTTCATTATAAATTAGATTGTACCGTTTCGTATGTGTCTAATGAGGACGACGTGAAATCTCCATTATTTAGACAAAATGCTACTTTTCCCTAAATCCGCCACTCTTTTGAACTGGACATTCTTCATATTTTTATTAATTTTGTAGAAATATCACTTTTTGAGATATTTTAAGTTATTTCCTTTTTGAAATGAGGTAGCGATATTTAAAAAAAGATATAATTTCGTTATTATATCGCCTGTGGACGTACCTAGGTAGAAATTGCAAAAAATGTGCAATAAAATCGCAAAACCGACGTAAAACGCAAAAGTTGCGTTTTTTGCACCAAATTGGCAACACTGGATAAGTGATGTATGACAGGTTCGGCCTTATATTAGGCGAGTTCGGATAGACAGGGGCTGGAGCGGGACAAATTTTAGGGTGCTTTTAAATGACATTTAAGCGTGTTAAACTGTCACTAATTGGACTAAACCGAACGCTAAAAGGGTCGTTTGGAGTTAAAAGTGTTAAAGGAACTTGGCAGACCGAACGCAATGATTGTAATAATCCCAATTTTTCGTAACTTTAATCTCTATCCCAACAAACCAATAATTTCTTCTAATGAGCTTGACAATAAAAGGCATATTAAAATAGAATTGCTACTAGTCAAGGGCGTCTCTAGGCTGAATTTTCGGGGAGGTGGGACGCATATTAATATTTTTTTTTAAAGTAGGGTGAGCATATTTGTTTTGATGCTGAACACGAATTTTTTTTGTATTAGCTCCTGAGACACCTCACGAAATGCTGTGCATATGGCCAAAGGCTCATGGATTGTGTAAAAATAAAAATTTTAATCATGGATTGTGTAAAATTAAAAAATTTAGTATCGGAGGGGTATGGCCCTCTGGACCCGCCCTTATTGTTGTTACTAGTACTACCCATGATTAGGTATATTTTAAGGGTTTTAATGAAAAATAATGTAAATGTAGCTTTAGGGAAAAATATACTTTGTCAGTAGTTTTAATTTTGAAGTGTGCTGAAGACGTCTTAAAAAATCCAGTTTTTTTTAAATACTCAAAAAATAACTGACTTTTGGTATCTAAACGACGTGAAATTATTGATCTGCCTACGAATTTACTTCAAAACTAAACATATTTACACGCATTCTGTCCGTTACAACACGTACACCTAACAAAGGAAAATAATGAAAATTCAAAAAGGTAGGTTTAAAATAATTTTTTTTATGAAAAAGAATTATAATTTGTAAATGATGTATCACGCGATATAGCAGCAAGTTACCTACAAAGTTAAAAATATTAAAGTATTTTGTTCATTGTTTTTATCAGCATTCCCAAAAATCATGCAACCCATTTATAATGATTATAATGAAAAATGTTTTTTTTTTGTGGTCAAATACATTTTTGTCACCATTCAGTTTCCTAAAAATTAAATTTTTTATTTATACCTAGTGTGTTTTATTTATTATACAACTGTGCAAAATATGGTTAAAATAATACAAATACATACCTAAATAGGTAAACGTAGAATTGCATTTTTTACGATTGCGCGAAAAGAAAGACCGCCAAAAAAACTCAAAATATGAAATACGGATTAAGATACGAATGTTTAAATGTTCTGCATATAAACCTATTTAATCGTAATACAAATATGTATTAGTTACAGATTCCCGGACAATAGACAGCTAAGCAAAATTTAGACCGTTAAAAAATTTACCTATTTAAAAAATATAAAAATCAAGTAACAAATCTTCAAAAATATTTGTAAACAATTTAAAATAATTAACTTTTTCGAAAAATTGTTAGGTCATATAAATGTAAATTATTTTTGAAAATCGGAAGATAAACCCTTAATAAAAATTGTTTAATAAACTTACGTGACTTTTTATGATAACCATTACGTCTTCTGTAGTTTGGAGATCGGGATCCAGATCTACTCCTATAATTTGGAGAATCTCTCTTGCTGTACGGTTCAGGAGAAATACTCATACTTCTTCCTCTAGGAGAATATTCTCGCGATCCCATATTAAATTGTCAAAAATTTATACAAACAACAAATTCAATAAGCGATTTTTTAAAAATAAATTGTGCCGTAGGTCCTAGCGGAAAATTAAAGGTTGAATAAATCGAAAATGGCGACGGCACTGTGACCACGCACTACATACCATTTTTCTTTATTGCAGTGTTCAAAAATCGATTAAAAAATAGAAACAAATAACCATAACAAAAAATATAACCGGAATGATTCAATCACGACTTTTGTTTGGATACGTAAAATTAGAAAAAAAATAACACGAAAATTTACTTCTCGGCCAAACTGTGTTGCGTTTTGTGCCTCAGAGTGGGCATGGGTCGCAGATGCTAGTCTAGACAGTCTAGAGCGCTTGCGTTAGGTATTGTAATTTTTACCTGAATCGAAAATTATACCTAGGACCTAAGGGTCGTAATAAATTCCCTTTTCAATTAATTGATACCCCTAGAAATTCTAAATAAATCTACTATTACGGTTTTTTAAAATTTATTTCTACGATAACTAATTTTAGATTACGATGAAAGTTAATTTTAGATTATATCGACTGTTTGACTTGCGCATGTTGTTTTGCGTATTTAAGATTATGGGGAGGGGGGTTTGATACGGGAAAGGAATTCCATTGAATTAAAAATAGAATTGATCGACAGGTCTGGCTTGGCCCTTCTTGAAGCAAATTTAATTAAATCGCTACAGGCTTTTTTGAGTTCTTAATTTAATAATTTAAGCAATAATAATTGTACTACATTGCAAATCGTAGATAATATAGAAATACGATCTCAAAAATGTTCATATCGATATTGTTTTGATGTATTGGTATTTTTTTCAATTTGTTGTGAACGATTTAATTTAGAAATTAAAAATTAATTTTTTAACCCCGAGGAGCGCATTTTTTCGATCGTTGTGAAGATCACTTTCAGAAATAAACGGGGAAGCACACGAATCTCGAACGTGGTATTAATAATAATTTCTCCAATAATTTACCATCTTACGAGTGATTTTAAACCCCTCTGAGCTTGTGTGGGAGAAGGGACACGACTATTATTATTATTTGCCGTTGCGCTCCCGGGTGACGTAAAGACGATTGATGGTGGGATGGTGCCATTTGATTTAGAGGCGAGGAAAACCCCACCCACTATCATCGAAACGGTATAGCAATGGCAGAAGTTGGAAATGCTTTTCGCAGTTCTCCCACCTCATACACATAAATTGTCAATTTTGCGGCAGAGCTAACCGAAGTGGACGCGATACATTGGCGTACAAAATTATTTGATAATAACAATTTCGGCTAAATAGTTTAATAAATTGTGAATAGCTGTTGAAATTTTGTAGGATTATGATATTATAGGTATTTGTTTAATAATTATTTCTAGTCCATAAATACATGCAATTGTCCGATCTCGCTGGTAACAATTTAAAATTACTATGAAACGACGCTGGCAGGTAAACATTACCGCAAAATTCTTGAAGCCGTCCGATCTGGTTTGACGTTTACCCCCTCTCTACCTACCAAAAGCCTTTCCAACTTCTGTCCCTGAAATAATACATGGCGCTTTATTTATAATCTGATGTCATATCAACAGAAATTAAATAACCGCTAATACGGCACCCATCAAATCCTATAACGAACCATGCAAATTAATTAAAAATTCACATGGTTTGCTGTAGGATTCGAATCACAAAATTTCCTGTAAATGAATACAAGCGCGTTAGATAACTAATATTTGTTTTGTTTTTAATACGTTGAAAACCATTTATAAACATTATTAGTCATATTCAGCTGAATTTTCTTCATATTTTGAGATTATTTTTAAATATATATCAGGTTACGCAACCGAGAAGATTATATTCGTATATAATCAACAAGCTTTTGGGGGATCAATTTCTTTACTTTTCTAAAAGTAAATAGGTTTATATTAATAAAATAAGTGAGAAAAGTAAAAGACCATTAGTGAGGAAGAAATTGATAGATTTTTTACGTACTAAACGAGAGACTTATGATAGCGCAAACACAAAAATTTCCCATATGCGGGGCCAGTCGCCTAAAACACACAAATATCTTCACGTCTTGTTCCCCGATCCGAGTCAGTTTTCATTACCTTTATTACATTTTTTGGCTATTCATTTTTTATTATTCCACCACCTGCTGCGTTTATATTTTGAAGCAAATTGATTTCGTAGTTATTTCGGCCATGATTTCGGAAATTATCTCGAAATCATCACGCAAATTCGGTAATCATCACCGAAAATATAATATAAAATATAAAAGTAGGTGGTGGATAAAAAAATCCCCCAAAAAAAGTCGATCAAAAAACAAATAAAAGGCCCCAACAAAGGTAATTTGAATATTCAAGAAGAAAATTTATAGATCACTGAAATCATACGAATTTTTGGTGATTTCCAATTGACTTCAGTGGTTTACCCCTCGGATCCTCCATATCTGTTGATTTATGAAATAATTGTATAGGAAAATTAAAAACAGACCATCCAGTACATGTAGATATACTCAAAATAAAAGAGCATATTTTTAATTAATTCATATATTTTTAGGTACACTTTTAAAATTTGTGAAAATTAAATAGAACAATTTATTTAAAAAAATATCCAACATGTATTTGACTTACCACAGCCGTGTATCAACAATTTCCAAATGGAAAAACTTAAATCAGACTCGAGCAAACGAAGTTAGAGATCTAATTCAATTCGATGGACAGACAATATTTAAAAATCAATATAATTATCTCTATTTTCGTCAGCAGATATCTAACATTGACTTAGAATGTACAATAAATTTCAATAGGAACTGTATAGAAAGCTAATATTTAGATGACACAGAAAATGCTTCACCGAGCTTGAACTTTTTTTGTCTGTAAACAAACATTACTATTTACAATAATTAATATTTTACTTTGCGATTTAATAATAAATGATTAGAAAAATGATTATTTAATGTTTTAATTTTACAAACTTAAAATATTTATTGCCGCGTACCTTGCAAACTTTATGTGAGATTACTTAGTTTGTTATAGTATACATTGAGTTAACAATCAAGATTTTATATAGATTGATGCTGTTTTGGCAGTTCATTCAAAAATATAGAAATGTTTTAATAATGTATGATCTTAGTTCAAAATCTGATCAAAATAAACTAGTAAATTGAGTTAATGTTTTCTAAATAATTTATAATTAAACCATTTAACTCTCAGCTCGGTTTACATCAAATTCAATTTAAACTAAAAATGTTTAATAATTCTACATCAATAATTATAATCATTAAATTACATCAGTCTGGTTATACAGGGTGTTTCAGAATAAAATACTGTAAACTGGGAGACTTGTAGATTTTAACTAATTATTAAAAAAGCTAAAATATAATTTTCCTATAAAGGTACTAATTTTCATAAATACATAATTTTCTAAATATCATGGTAGCTAATGACTTTAACTTAAAAATTATTCTTCTCGCAATTTGTCACAGAAAAGGAGCTCTTTGTTTGTCTTTGTAAAACAATCTATTTCTTCAAACTTGGGGTAGCCATGTGTGAGTTTTGATCCATTTCTGAGATTTTTCAGTTTTAGCTCTACTCACACACGAAAGCTATGTACATTATGAAATTCAAAAAATGCAATTTTTTATTAAAGGCCGATTTCATAATCAATATTAAAAGGCCCATTAACTAATGGAGCCATTAAGTCCATAAGATCTTGGTTAGTTAATGGACCTTTTAATATTCATTATGAAATCGGCCCTTGATAAAATTTTACATAGGTTTCATGTTTGGGTAGGACTAAAACTGAAAAACTCGGAAGTGGAATGTTCTACAGAGATCAACCATGAGCCCCTTTTCTATGTTCAAAAAAAGGAAGATATTTCATAAATTATGTATCTATGAAAACTGGGTCGTTTACAGAAAAATTATATTTAGTTTTTCCTAATAATTAGTTAAGACCTACAAGTCCCTCTGTTTACGGTACTTTATTCTGAAACACCCTGTATATATTTTGTTTAAATATAAATACATATTTAATAGGTAAAGTTTGTTCATGTAATTACAGTTTCACTTCATACCTGTCTTGAAAACGTTAATAGGTATGAAATCAAATGGAATATTTATGAACAAAAACCCCTTCTTCCCCTCCACCCAAGGCTCGGAAATTTTGTTATTTATTTAATAATATATGATTTGTCGAGCTCACCTTCATATTTGGCAGTGAAATGAATAATAAAACTAAAAGTTTTACCACTCACTAAACCTATTTTGTACCAGCTCAATATATGTTTTAGCAACTAACTTGCAATCTTCAGATGATTGCCAACTTAGTTGTTAAAAAATATGTCGAGGTGCTACGAAACCAGTTTGGTGAAATACAGCTGTTATTTCTATTATTCTAGTGATGTATTTGCTTGATTTGTAGGCTAATATTAATAAAAAAAATTATTAAACCACGTTTAGATAATAACTATCAACAACACAGTTATTTCTAAACATCAATTTAAAACGACAGACAACAGAAAACAAAATTAAACTAGAACAAAAAATAAATATAAATAACTATTTTGTCTCAGGTCCAGTTTCCACTGCTTTAGTGTCCAAACTTTCTAAAAGGTTTACCCATGTTTTCATCTAAAACAATACATGTATATTAAATACACTTGCATTTATACAGTACCTAAGCCACCAACTATTTTGACGTTTTAATCAATTTACCAAAAATATAAAAATTTCAAAGGGTAATTATTAAAAAAAAACACATTCAAATTCAACAAAGTAACATGTTAAAAATGAGGATAAACCAACTGAAAAATCAGGGCCAATTGATGGAGAGTGAAATTTTTTAGTGTTGCCATTGATAATAAATTAATAAAAAGTTTGGGCCTATTTCGACAACAGTTATCACTAAATAAAAAACGAATTTGATCGAACTTGAATATTATATGTTATTTCATGCAGGGAATTAAAAATAAATCAGTTAAATTGATTAAAGTCTATAAATCAGTAACCAATGCAGTAGATTAAATCACAGTCTGATTACCCTTTGCAAAAGTCTGGTTCTCCTATCTCCAAGAGGTTCCTGGCGTATATTAAGGAACAACACATCTAATCCATCTTTCAATTTTCTAACACCCTCTTCCTTTTTATCTTGTCTTATGTACATTTCCCCGACCAAACACATGTCATACCCAGTGAGTAGAGAAGGGGTAGAAGATAACATACATCTAAAATGATTATTATAAAGCCTTTCAGTACTGTTTAATTTTATACTATATCGAATAGAGGCACAGTCCATATATACAGCAGTAAAACTATTATGTACTCCAAAAGTCAACACACAGAATTGGAATTTAAGTTTCAGAAAAAAACTTCTTCTATAGGTCTAGAAATTAACAAACAGAAAACAAAATACATAGTAGTCGGTTTATTACAGAATAGATAGGAAAAATAAATGAAGAATTGAAGGAAATACTCTAAATATAAGATAGAGTAGTGTCCTGTGAAGCGGGCAGATAGAAACGCTTCACCCGGGCATTTACCATTGGGGTGGCAGAAGCCCGTTAATAACCTGCAGAACTTTGACCTGAGAGGCTGGCTATCCATAGATACCCCACAGCGACAACCAGCAGGTTTTTGAAAAGGCAGGTCCTATATGCCCTTGGAGGATGCACAATGGCACTAATGAGGCCTAAGGGATGTGGAGCAACCCACCATTTCACTAAAGAAGATAAAGAGTAGGTATATAAAATACTGTTCATATGTCACGGAAATGACGCAATAAGATAAAAGAGAAAGAAAGGAAATATGTATGTAAAGGCTAATGAGCCAATTAATAAAAAACTTAACTGGAAATGTAAAAAATAAGAGTATACAGGGTGGATAGACGAAAACGAAATATCCATTATCATCAACATTTTAAGATAAACACCCGTCAATTTTATATTAAAGGGGGACATCTTGCCATCATCTCCTCAGCTGTGATAAGTCATTCTCCTCCCCCTTTGTCACTCAAACCAATACAATTTATTAATGCGTATCAAAAATTTATTTTGACTGTTGAGTATTAAATTATTAATAAAATTATCTTTCAAATGAAGTATCACACTTTACAATACGTAACAGTTTTTATCTCGCTGGAGGGTGCTAAAATGAAATGTAACTCAACGAATAGTCATACTGCTAAATTCTCCATAAAATTATCTTTTCAGTGATGTGGCATACTTGGTACTTTCCGTATTTAAATTATATTGGTGACGAAGGCGAGGGGAATAACATGAAAGTTGAGGATATAATAGGAAGATGTACCTCTTTAATCAAAAATTATGACTGTCTAAAATGTTGATGATAATGGCTCTATTTCATTTCCGTATGGCCACCCTGTATGACTAATTAGACAGACAGACACAGTAACCACATCATACAAGACATGAGCTCTAACAAAAATGATGGCAAAATTATTGGAGATATGAGAAAGTAAGACAATCAGACAGATATTTCAGGGAAGAAACTAAATAATTTGTGGAAAAAGAAACACTGAATATAAATTAATGGAAAGCTACAAGATAAGGTTGGATATATCCAAAGTAAGAGAATAAAATACACAGCCTTAACAAAGTGCTGATTCAGACCCATTTTAATTAATAAATATTGTTTACTTTACCTAAGTCTCTCTGATAACATGGGCATATTAATGGGTTCATAATCTCTCTCTATCATAATTCGAATCTCAATTTGTGATAAGTACTGTGAATAGCTTCTAATATTTTGCATCAAATGAAAGAACAACCCTTGATCCGGTAAAATACTTTTAGCATAAATTTTAAGGTGTAAAAGGGCCTCAGTGGCTTCAACATAAGCTTGACCATATTTTTTATCGTCAACTAATTCTACACTTTTGATGAGGCACTCACAACCCATAACGTAATGGTTGTCTATTACAAAGTTCTGAGTTTCTAGTTCTATAAATGGGTGTTTAGTAAGGTTTTCAGCAGTAGGCCTATTTTGCTTATCATATTGAAGAAGAGATTTTACCAAATTGAGACAATTTGTAGTAAGTTGGGCAGTTACTAGAGGTGGATACTGGAAGCAATAAGGAATTAAGAAAAACTACATACATTTTGCTTTAATAAATGTTTACCTGAATGGGTACTCTTTTTCTAAGAAGCTGTATGTATTCATCTCTGCTTGCTTTTGAAGGAAATGGTCTTCTACCATAAAGCAATTCATACATAACAACTCCTGCAGAATATAGGTCAGCAGTTAAATCATAAGGAAATCCCAAATGTAGCTCAGGTGCCATATATAAAAATGAGCCAATTTTTTTCCCCCTTTCTTCAGCATTATAGAATATTTCTGCTAACCTAAATTAAATGTATTATTTATTTAAAATAATTTCTAAAAGTAATTTATTTACCCAAAATCACTTAATTTAATCAATGGATTTGGTTCTATTCTGGTTACTATTATATTTTCTGGTTTTACATCTCCATGCATGATAGATAAACCATGCAGGTAAATAAGTGCAGACAGTAGCTGCTTCATAAGTATTTGCACCACTTTCTCAGGAGCAGTGTGGTCTTTAGGCATTACTTTTTGAAGAGATCCAAAACAAGAATATTCAATTCCAAGGTACATATACCTTAAACAAATACGTATTGTCTTTATATAATTTGATAGATACATTTGTATAATGAAAACCATACTATGGTTTCTACCACCTAATACCCCATAAGAAATTTAAAGCCAAGGGAGCATACTGTAGTTGAAATACATTGACATATTAAAACACAACTATAAAGGGCAAAAATTTAAATTGGGGACAACTTACAGGTGACTCTCTATTGGCAATTTCAAGATAAATTAGAAAATATCATTACCATAGGTATCAAGAAAGTTAAATACATCATTGTATTTCAATTACAATCCATGGTTACATTATTTTGAGTTCTACCTGCACTTAATATCACATAAAATATAGCGAATAATGTTTGGATGTTGCAAAAATTTAACAAATGCCATTTCAACAGCGGCCCTAGAAATTTCTGATGATGTCTTCTTTCTCATTTTATAGGACTTGATAGCGATCACCAATTTTGTGTCCTAAAATAGCAATACAATAGAGAATAATTTTTACAATAAATCAATATTAACATTAACCTTTTCTACGGCCTTGTATACATTAGAGTATGAACCACATCCTATCAGCTCCCCAAGGGTGAAGGCATCCGTAACCTTTGGTACAAGACAATCTCGTTCACCTGTCATCTAGATATGAAATAAAACAAAAAAATTTAAACTCAATCATAGAAAAAAATTGACACTAATAACCATTTCGTCCATGCCTTCAGGGGAAGGTTTTCTTGCTTTCCTAGGGGTGGAAATTTTATTACTTTTAAAGAGCTTGTATATTATTACTGCACCAAGTACTACAGAAGATGCTATTAGCAGTTTGTTATTAAAAAAGTTTGATATAAACATTAGTTATTGAAAGGCGAAACTTAAGGGCTCACAATAATTTTAAAACTTTTGAAAACAATTAGGTTTCTTGTGTAAATTAAAGGAAATTCATGCAAATCCAACAAATTTGTTACACATCGAATGTCGAATGACATTTAATATTTTTTTGAAATTATTATGGCATATGACATGCGTAACAGGTGAAACCACAAACATATAATTCTAGACAGTATCGTATCCGCCATATTATTTAAGAGAAGTTGCAGCTGCAGCTGAAACTGATAACTATGGAATTTTTCATTTTATCTATGAAATAACTTGTATGCTGTACGCGTACAGATTAACATATCGCTTAACTATCTGTTTCCTCTGATCTATAACCACAAAAACTCTGAAAAAATGAGAGCGAGTCAATTCGTTTATTAGATTCCGATCACTTTTCCGAATTACAAGGAACGATTACGGAACCCCCTTATCCTCTATTTAAATTAATGTCAAATGTCTGACATACCGCCGAATACATAACCCTATTATTTCAAAACCCTATTATTTCAAAAACTTCATGAAAAGTTTTTCTTGGATTTGAACTTTTATATTTAGTTTTAGAGTTTAGGCTTATATTAGGATGCTGATGCCTTTCATGTTTATTTGAATTATATGTAAAAACATCTGAAATGGATACCCCACCGTAAGTTCTGTTTTAATTTTTTAATGGTATGATGTATAATAAATAAAGCTTATAAATTTTGAATTTTAGGGTTTGGAAGAGAATTTATCCAGTTATTGCTTCGAGTAATCCACACGTTACAGTAAATGTCGTTGAAGATGTGTTAACACTTTGTAAAAAACATATAACTGATGTATTTTTACATTACAAGCCATATACTAAAGGCAGTTTTATCAAATGGAAGCAAGAACTGGGGGTAAAGGAAATAGTATCGGACGATGAAATGTGTAATTTTATACACAATTTAAGTAAAGAACTTGTATGTACCCAAAACATCACTTTATGCAGTTGACTAAATAACTTTAACTATTGAGTTACTTAGAAGCATTATTGAAATATGAGTTCTATTATTTTGTTCCACTATATCTTCTACTGGTTACTCTGTTTTAGGATTTGGATGCAAACGTAGCTTGGACAGTTATATGTAATTTTTTAATGTATGAATACTATGGAAAGGTGGATGAACTTAAAACCTTGATCAAATTTGACTCAAAAATAGAATACTTAACAGAAAATATATGGTACTTCTATTCAGCAGATCGAATGTTTTTACTGAAAACATTAAGGCACATTTTGGAAAGTTTGGAAAATCAAAATCAAATATGTAAAACAAAAATAGAGTCCTTTGCAACAAATATAAATGCATCTGTACTTTGGAAAAATTTGGTTAAAGTCTTCTCGAATCTGATCCATGAAATAAGTAAAGAAAAAGCAAGTAATGTTCCTGCAAAACTTTTAGCCGAATGGATTCACAGAAATAATAGAGAACAAATTGAAGTAGTATTGTTACTTATGCACACAATGAATTTACCAAATTTTAAATTAACTGGTTCCGAGTTAGAAGAAGTTTTTGTAATGTTCATTAAACATGGTTTTACTGGACTTCCTTTCTATACTGAGAGTTTAACTGTTTCAAGAAAACAGGATTTAGATGAAATAAAGCATACTGAAGTTGCTTTGCTTCTTTCAATTTTACACAAATATTGGTTAGTATTTTCATTACATTACTTTGTTCTGTACTATTAGATATATACATTTTTTTTAAGGAATTTACCTGAAAAAATCAAAGTTGTGATGCTGCCCCAAAATATGGAGCGAAATTTAGAGCTGTTACAAATCCAGAGTGATAATAGCATTGTTTTATTTTCATGGACAATTTTTAAAACTTACTATGATAATAATGGTTCACTAGATGGAAATATGGAGAACTGTAACTCAATAGTAGAAAAAATGTTAGAGAAAAAAATATTTGTATCTTTGTATGAGTTATTGGTTCATAAAATATTTTTGGTAAGTTATATGTAAATATGGACAAATAGGACAGTATTTAGTATTATTGTTCTGTTAAAAATATCTGAAACTCCATGGAATCCTTAAAATGCCTTTTTTAAATATCTTAAGCGACCTTTATTTAACCCAATAGTATAGTTTTTAGCAATTAGCCCTAAAATCATGGCTTATTATGTCTAGTAAATCATCATTTGATAATAATATAAAATATCTCCAAAAAGTGTTTCCTGTAAAATTATTGAATGGCACATAAGATACTAGAAAAAATAGAAAGTACATAATAAAAACTTACAAACACAACAAATTGAAATAAATGTGGACTTCGCAAAGGCGTTTGATAGAGTTAATCATAAAATACTATTGAGCAAATTAGAATATTTTGGTATAAATCATGGCTTTTTAAGAAGTTATGTGCAAGATAAGCAATTTTTCGTTAAGTTTAAGGGGCTAATCTCTAGTTTTTCTGATATTACCCCTGGAGTTCCTCAAGGATACAATCTTGGACCGTTACTCCTTGTATTATTTATAAATGATTTGCCTTCTATACTAAAAGAATCTAAATGTTTACTATTTGCAGACGATATCAAAATTTTCAAGGAAATAACTACTGTTAGAGATTGTATAGGACTCCAAAGGGATATCGACAGAATATATGAATGGAGTGATAAAAATAAATTATATTTTAATCTAAAAAAGTGTAACATAATGACATTTACACATAAAATAAACCCTAAGATATTTGTATTTTAAAGAACATAATATATGGCCCCATTATAATATAACAAGGACAACTCATTTGAAGAACACATATAAAATTAATTTTCTTAGCTTAAAAAGAAATGTAAATATGTTGATGTTTTTATATAAAATAATAAACTCTGAAATTAATGATCCAAATATATTAAGTATCATAAGCTTTAATGTGCCGCTATACGGTGCTCGACATTTTCAAACTTTCAGAGTTCCCTTCTATTCTTTGTCATCCATCGCCCGATCTCCTCTGCCAACTATGCTTAAACTTGCAAATGAAGTAAGTTCCTTAACAGAATTAGATTGTTCCTTGACCCTATGACAATTTAAGAAAATTGTTAATGACTTTTAATTAATTTATCAATATACCTATGATTGTATACATTTTTTGACTTATGTTAATGTTTAATAAACAATACTTATGTATTCTTTTAAACATTTTTAAAAGAAAAATCCAAGTAACTTCTCCTCAACATAATTACCCTACTAGAGGTAAATGCACTTACCTTCCAATAACTTCAAAGACTGTTGGTCAACGCTGTACCAATTATTTTGCTCCAAGATTATCCAATATGTTACCAGATTACATTAAGGATATTAATAAACTTTCGTGTTATAAATATGCTATAAAAAATTGGATAGCAAGTAATAACAGATATATTTTTAATAGCCTAATTGATTTAAGATATCTAAAATAATTTATAATTAATAAATTTTCCACTTTAAAAATAAAAAAAAAATAATACTTAATAACTATATTTCATTATGAATTAAATATCGAATATGTCTATATTTTATCTCCCTGTTACTATTTGTTCTACTGTTTGCTTATTATGTTCTATTATTTGTTTTATTACTTGTTTTATGTTATATGCTTTGTTACTTGTTTCATTATTTGTTTATCATGAATTTATCTATTTATTTATTATTCTATATCGAATTTTATTTGTGTTTAAAAAAAAAATTTTTTTAAATATCCTAGCTCGCACACAGGCATTACAATGCCTCAGCAAGTTACCAATGTTTATATTTAAATTAACTATGTAATTGTAATTTATATTTCTTTTTTTTGAATAAACATTATTATTATTATTATTGGATATGATTTTATATTTTTATCAAGTATTCCATGTAATTAGGCTTGAAGCCTGTTTGGGATAAATAAATACAACCTTCAATATATTCTATTATGAAATAAGTGTTCTCAGATAAAAATAAAGTTTTACTTACCTACATAAGGTTTTCTCAATTCCAGTCTTGTCTGTTAATCGAAATGGTTGTACATTTTTCTATTGACAATTATTAATTTAATATTGCTATTGCTATATATAAAGGATTTAATAAAATAATATGTTTAGAAAATTTTGTATTATGTTAAAATACGTTACAGAAAAGCAGGGCTGGGAATATATTGGTTGATGCAGTTCATACTTTGATGGTAGAGTTTTCAAGAAATTGTGCAGATTTTCCTTATTTTCACGAACAAAGTGGAGTGGGTAAAACAACTGCTGAACTTTTGAGGAGGAAGGGTTTAGCTGTTTTAGAAAATTTGGGACCAATATTTCAACTATCCATGGAAGCATTTCCTTTTGTTTTTGAACCATTCTTGGAAATGTGCAAATCATTATTAATAATACCAGAAAAATATGATAATGTAAATATATTTTATAAATATTACATAATATGTGTTTTTTTTTAAATTTATCCAATACTAATCAATGTTATCAATTGCAGGTTATGAAACTTTTAAAATCAATACCCAGTTTCTTAGCAGAAATACCTTGGGATGACCGCAGACCGAGGTTTGTCATGACTGCCCCACGAAAAATATTCATAGACAGCGATTTGTTTATAATACCTGCAGGTACAACTGTGGAGAGATTCGTATATCAAGGACACGAGTTTGCTAGATTTTTTTACCCTTTCAGCTTCTTTTTACTAATGGAGCAATTCACAAAGTCTTTCAGTACAATCACTTTTGAAATTGGACCTGATTGGTATTGCTATAAAAATCTGACTGAACTGGTCCTTATTGGTTTTAAATTTATAAATCATCTTCTGAAACATTATAAAGGCGATTATAGGCATGATAATGAGTTAAGGACTCTTGTCCAAAGATTGGAAATCGTTCCTGCTCAGTTATGCAAAGGACCAGTCAAGAATTTTGATTTTATTACACTTTATTTTGAAGTTAACTGTACCCTAATCACACACGAATTGTTGGATTACATGGAAGCTTTTCCACCCATTCAACGGAAAACATTCATGCCGACTGTAGTGAACTACAACAAAGATAACAGAGATGCTTTATTTGGCCAGTTACATAATAAATGTTTGTTATATAAGAGCTTAAAAGACGAAGAAGGAAAGGATACTCATTCTTTGTTGATTCAATATTTGGAATTGATTTTTTTTATGGTTAAGGTAAGATAGATTAATAAATTTAGTTACTTTCTTATTGTATTATAATTATTTTAGAAAAACATATATCACTATGAGGTACAACTACCAGGAATGTGGTATATGATAAATTGCACATTTCCTCTATATCAACAATGGAAATATGCTGATTCTGGTCAAAAAACTCAAATATCAAAATACTGTTGTTCAATTTTTGTAGAAATTCTTAACAGGCATTTATCGAATGTTAAAGACGATTCAGTTGTAATATTCGAAATGGTGCTAGACTCGTTCTTATATGAGGATATTATAATGTCTAGTTACATGTCTATGTTGTCCAAAGACAAGTTTTATCTTCAAAATTTAATGGAGCAAGAGTCCAATTGGTCCAACGGCCCCAGTTTGGAGAATATTGATTGTCTTAGATTGCAGCTGGTTTTGCTTCTGTTACTTTTTAAACACAAATTAAAATCTATTACTAAGCGTAATAATCTCGATGATAATGTTGGATTTTTCGCTAAAGCTGTTGTACCTTACATTATAAACCCTTATTCATTAACGTTAAGAAAGTTGTCATGTCGATTTTTGGAACTGTTGTCCAGGGTAAGTAATAAGTTGCACAATATGCAAATATCTTAAATATATGTATATTTTTTAGGATCAAAACATACCTCTAATGGCGCTTCTTGGTTTAGATTATGATCAGGTTCAGAGATTATATTTAGACAGACTACGAGACTCAACAGAAGATGATGATCTGAAAGTGCATATTTTGGACCTAATTGGTACTTGCGTAATTTATCAACACGGTATGACTGCAGCCTTTTTTAACGTCACTAGATCTAGGAAATGGTATAGTGACAATAAAGAAAAAACCATTGAAATTGATACCGTCAGCGATTTTATGGTTGATTATTTACATAATGTGAAGAGAGTAAGAGGCTAATATTTGATTTTATATGTTTAATTGAAGTCCTTGTGCTTTTTCTCTATATGTATTTTAATTTAAGTAACCAAAAATATGAAGTCGTAGCAAATATGTGTTAATTTTTAGTCTCCAGAATTTTTAAGAAGTCCCCTGCAAATCGGCATTCTTCATGTGATGGCAAATCTGTGGTCCAGTCAAAAAAATCACCTAATAAGCGAAGTAATGAGCTTAAAAGAGTTTTGGCCTTTGCTCAGCAATCCTCTGTATCGGGAGTTCGATCAGTTGCCGAAAGTTTATGCATTCATATTCCAAATTTATGGAATACAAATGGTTCAAGTGGACAGCGATCCAAAATTTTTATCTTCAGTTGAAAAATTCGTAACTGATACCAAACAAGTCAAGCTGTGGGTGGATTATATATGTACAACTTTCAAAAGCAAAACTACAAACATCGAAGATATAGAAGATCGGCAATTCTTGTTGAGGTCTTGGATGGAGTTCAGTATCATGTTGGAAAGGCATAATAAGTTAAAAAAGTTTAAAGAGGAAAATAAATTACAACTTATTTCGATGACTTTAGATGGATTGCAATTGCCTTTGGTTAATACATATTGTATGAACAGTTGGATGGATTTCTTATTACTGCAAATATCCTACTGGAAAATACCCACCACGTAAGCAATCATATTTATTTTTCTACAACCACATAGGAAAATGACATGCGCGTGGATAAGAATCTATGGCCCGCATCAGCTGTCAAATATGTCAAATGCTTTATTTCTAATTTGATTTATGTAATGTCTATATTAAAAGTAAAGTCTTATTGATTATATAATTTATTTAACATTATGGTTCAAGCTCTGCTTCTGGAGTTAAAATTCACTCGTAAAGATGTTAATTATAAGGAGAGTATTATTATTAATTCCCGATAAAAGGAATCTTTTTTACTTTGGAAAATTGAAAAACTACTTACTATAGTTGTTTATTTGTTGTAAATACATTTTATTTATCATGTTATAACCCCTACATTTAGGCAATATATAAATCTTTCTGCTATTTATTTTGTACTGTTTTGAATACGGTTCAGAAAAAAATTGAATATAAAAAGCTTGGTATAGTATCATCTTTAATAATAAGAACTATAAAGATAGACGAATAGATGTAAAATCTGCAGTCATAGAACCCCAAATAAGCAAGCAAGCAAAGTTCTTGTTCACAATTGTTCATCTTATTATTTGTTGTATTTAAAAAAATTAAACTAAAGAATGTTATTGTTTTGTAATATTTTTTGTGCCTAATATCATTATCATTCCATGAAAGTGTAAATAAATGGAATCGCAATGGTTCATAACTAATAAAACATCAAAACTAAACCTACCTAGATTTCCTAATTTTAAATTTTATGATGAAATAATTTTGTGGTTGTGGGAAAAATAATGTACATCGCTTGATTTTTGCACACTTGTGTGATAATAGTTCCCACTCGTGTGAAAATGTCACTTTCGGCACTTATAATATACTATTTCAACATCGATTTTTAGCTAGTTTTAAATAAAATTGTTCTTATATTTGCATGTTTTATTGTTATTGTTTTAAAACACTGATACATTACAATTTTTGTATGGACTAATATTTCTATACTGTTCTAAATCTGCTTGTAGGAATCAAGATAATTTGATTAATATAACGAATAAAACAATCAGCACCATAAAGATAATTAAATTGCACTATAACGATTTGCAACATTCGACCAGATTAACAGTCCTTACTATAGTGCAACAACTTTTAGAGAGTCTGCGTGTTCATTTTGAATCTTACTCCAAAGATTTATTGGAATTTTTGGAACATTTTGGCCCGATGTTGGAGTATGAATACCTTATTATGGAAGAAAAGCAATGGAAAACTGATGATGGCTTCGATATTGTAGTTAGAGAACAAATGCTGCCTTGGATGATTTGTGTGAGAATAGTAAACGGTTTATTTGAGTATAAAAACGTCGAGGATATCGGTATTTGGTTCACTTATAGGAACATAGTTCAAAAATTTATGGATTCTGCTGGGCAACTGATTAAGAATCCCAAAACATTACCGTTGGCCAAAATGTTGCTACATGGTCTCGCCTTATATGCTTCTTCTCCACTCTACTTTGACTTTATGAATGTTAACATGAACAACTTCTATATTAATATCGAGTCTTCAATTGCACGTCTTCTTTATGGACAAAATAATAAAGTAAGATTGTAGACAAAGATATTTTGTTTAAGAACTAGTATTTGGAGCTATCTAATATAATTAAACAATGTTTGCTGTCAATTTTAGATAAGTCCCTTGCAGCTTGAAGAAGGATGGGTTACAAGTTCTTTGCTTGTTAAATTTCAAACAGCATATTTTCAGTCGCTACAGCATTTGACACTGACGAGTTGTTACAATTTTATAACGTTGAATGAACAGATACTCGGACATATTTTTAATATTCTGGAAACTACCGTTGCTCTTAAGGCCCTCGATCTAGTCCAAAATACTTTGGTCTTAATCGAATCTGTGTTACTAAAATGGCGCCTCGAATGGTACAGAAAGTCCAATCCTACCTATAACTTTGTTCTGGTATGTATATTTTTTTATTATAGCTTGATTTCCTTTAACTATACTTCATTTGAAGAATAAGGAAGAGAATAAGAATTGTAATAAAAGTATGACCTTCGAAAGTAGTAAATCATAGACGTACGTATTTTTGTATTATATAATAAAATAAATACTTTTTTTAATGCATATACATATATTATTTGTAGGTATTAAACAATGTAAATAAAATAAACAGTACATTTTTTTTTTTCATTTAATTTTCAAATTAGTTAGTGCCTCAGTTTAATTAGAAGCAAGTCAACCACTCTGCAACACTATTTTAGGGAGTTTGTTGTCTAAAATAGTTGAAAATATTTACATCAACCTTTTTCTTTTTTTCATTAATTGATAAATGGTCCATCTATTTTTCTACAAATTATCAATCAACAATCAATTTACATTTGGGCTTACTCCATTAAAAGGCCATTGAACAAAAATTATTAATTTCTAGAAATATACCTAATGTTACGCCTATGATCGAGAGAAATCCCACTTAAACGGATTAGGTCCTTAATTGTTATAATAGTAGAATATAACTAAATAATCCGAAAAATGTAAGCACTCCTTATTTTTCAAATAGACTATAGAATTTTGATTTGTTCTAATTTTGGATTTACTTTTTAGAATGGAGTGAAAAAAGTGATCAACGCTTGTCTGTATGCCATCTTGCGACCAAAAAACATAGTGGTATACCTGTTAGATGAAGCGAATCGTTTAAATCAATTAGAAAAATTTCCAGTACAACTCATGGTAGCGATTATGAATAGGTATTTAATTTTTGATAGTTGTATTGTTAAATTATGCACTTGATGAGAAACAAAACAAAATATGCTCTTCAAATTAAAATAATATGTAGTCTTTAAAATTTACTTACTACTTCTACACTCGTTTGAGAATATTATTTGTGGTCTTTTTGTTCTTTTAAAGCGTTATGTTTTTTTTTTTTAGATTAGTAACAGTAACTGGTTTAGGATTTTCAATATTGTACAGGATAAATCCTGAATTAATAGACCTGTTGGATGTACCACTGTCCGATACTATGAGGATAATAATAGAAAACGATTTCAGTGTACCAAAATTCGAACTACCGATTTCTAACAAATTAACATACGGTATGTTATTGTGCCTTTCACATTTTTTGTGCAAGACCATGGATGCTTTAAATTTGGACAGATCAAGAAGTGCTCCATCGACGGAATTAACCATACCGTCAGAGGATTATTTTTCGAGATATTTCGGTATGGTCGAACATCAGGATTTCACTGAAAACCTTCCCACTCAGAAACTCAGCGCGTTTCTGAGATACGCGATGTACGAATACTCGGGACTGGCCGATCCTTGGATACAGAAACTTGATTTTAATCTCGTTAGATTTTCGTTGGAATCGTTGATGATGTTTTTAGCCCAGCAAATTTTTCTGGCTGTTAGAAGTACAGAACCCGAAAATGCGTCGTATTTCAGAAGGAATCTTAGCTCGGAGTTGCAGTTCTTTTACGAACACGTTAAAAAGACGACTTCGGTCCTCATCAATTCGACACCGATCAACCAGTTATCGCAAGTATCCAAATCCGAGACTGATATTTTGAGGAAATATTTAATGCATTGTAAGGAAACTAATAATTATGAACGGGTAATAGATAATAATTTTTGTATCATTATTTCTTATTGGTTTATTCATTTGTGTAAATTGAGGTAATTATTTTTTCATTTTCGTCTTATATTTTTCGTAATAAATTGTAAAAAGTATTTTCTATTCGTTTTTTATGTTTTTCTCATCATCAAAATTTATAAAATAAAAATATTGAGGTAGAGCCAAATGGTTATCGGCCAGAGTTTTTCGGCCACTATTAACAATTACATAATTGCATTCTTGCCGACGAAAGAATGTTCTTACTCCCGCTTTTTAACACTTTCTACGTTTCCGATCATTTCAAATCCGAGAACGGGAAAAAAAAAATATCTGCGTATGTGAGCAAAAGCACCGATTTTGATTTTTTTTGATAATTTCTTCTAACTGAGAACTCTTTTCATTTTCAGAATTTTAGTTCTAACTTTAGTACTTTAAATATCAATGATTTTAAAATGCAATGCATTTCTTATGGGGCCTATTTTATGCAATTCAACGAGGGTATTTATTTTATTCTTATGAAATCACATATTTTTTTCTATATTGGTGTCACCCTCAAATGTTAAATAGTTTAAATTTTGTAAACGTCTTTTAAAAGATATCATTTGAGTAGTTATTTATTGTAAGTAAAAGTGATAATAATATGCAGTGTTTATACTTTCAAAGATATTTTTATTTATTAGACAATTATTATTTGAAAACTATTTTAGTAAACTAATGCGTAAAGTACCAAAAAATGTCGATTAACAAAACTAAATATTGTGACGCTTCAGTAAATTAATATAAAAAACAACTTTTGACTTGATAACAGCTTCAATACGATTTGACATAATTCATAAGCTTTGTACAAAATTCAGGGGTTATCGTTTCCAAGATTTGTTTTAATTTGTTTCATTTCTTGCCAAACATTTTCGATTACATTTAAGTCTGGACTGTTTGCAGGCCAAGATAATACCTATAATCTTGCACAAACCATTCTTTAGTTGAACGCGTAATATGGCATGAAGCACTGTTGGAAAATAAAATCGCCGTCAATTCCACTTCATTTATGAATATTTGGCAATCGCTTGATATTTTACAGCGTTAACTGTTCCATCAATAAACGCTAGTTCTCCTAAACCACTAGTAGACAAAGAACCCCATATCATTTGTTTGTTTTTCAAATTTGACTGTCGTTTTGAGACAATCTTTATGAAAGCTTTCTTATTTCGAATCACTCGTGTTCCTGTGCTCGTATCCTAGAATCTCCTACAGAAACGTCAAACTTGATCTTATCACTGAATATAAATTTCTTTCAGATGTATTGAAAAATCATAATCGTTCTAACACATTGTTTGGGCTCATAGTTTTAAGATGAAATAAACGCGATTAATATAGGATTGTTTTTACAAGACCTTTAACGAACTCCAGAATGGAACTTGTATATAAATTGAAAATTAGGATTAAAAAGGTAAAGGGCCCAAATATTATTTTAATATGGGCAGGCTTAAGATGTAAAGATACCTAGCATATTTTATACAGGCGAGCTTAAGGGGTAAACGGCCCAACTATTACATGGGCAGGAGTAAGGGGTAAGATGACTAAATATTTTTACATTATATACAAACTTATCCACGAGAAGCACGTGTGCATATCACAGACCTTTATTATACCTAGGCCGTGAGAAGCACATGATTTAATAAAATATCGGCGTGTGTGATACAACGCTGCTTCTCGGTAGCGGTATAAACTTATTGGGCATGATTTTTGGAGCCTGGACAACTATCTTATGTATTTACCCGTGTTTTTCTAGGTCCTACGTTGGCTCAAAAGATTTATTCCATATGTGGCCCAAAAACTTTATTTTTGTATATTATGATGGCAGTTTAGGTGCCAAGAGGTAGATGATTCAAATATTTTTATATGTGCAGGCTAGGTCGTATTTTAAGAATATGTAGCACCAAATTTCGTTAAAATGTTTCTTGTTATACGCTATATTAGTGATGACGCAATTTATAATCCACAAATAATTACAATGAGGACACTAATTTCTAGATTTCAAGATTGTATTCATTTAAACATTAAAAATAATATGGTTTCATACCTTTAAAGTAAGTATTGGTGCTTTTAGGAACAAATTCTCATTGTAGCAAATAAATGACTAATATTTTTTAGTTATTTATTTACAGGTAACATTACATTTGGACTTTCGTTAATAATACAAGTCTGGAATATAGCAACACATGAGTCGCATTGCCTATAACCTATATTTGATATTCCACATTGTATATCTTATTTACGTATTTTTTGTCTTTTACTTTTCTTTAACAAGTCTCAAAACTTTCATAATATACATAAACAGCTATATATTTTTTAATGTTACAGTGGAATAAAATAATTATTATAAACATTTGAAGGGATTGGGTTATTTAACTGTTTTTTTCTATAATTTTGAGACGTCTCTGAACGGCTGCTGTCATTGGAGACGCTTCGAATACCTGAAGCAAATTCTTTTCGATAATTGTGATTCTGCTTTTTATTTAAACCTAAAATAACAGGAATTCCATTAACAATATTGATTAAAAAAACGGGACAAACCTTTCACTTGACTCATCGTACAACTGACTTGAGGATGTATTGTTGTTTGTCTATTAAAGTATCGCTTGTCGGTGTGGTGTTTCATCAAATTACTATTGTAATCCTTGTAATCTCTTTGGATCTGTCTAAACTCTGAGAGTTCTTTGGTGGAAGACGCCATCAATTTGTTGTCACAATTGGAAGCTTTATGCTGATTTACGGTTTTCTTTTTCAAGTAATCATTTTTTCGTGATGATGACGATGACGACGATGAAGATACTGAAGAAAATGCACCGTCTGGTTCTGATCTATTCTAAAATATTACAGGCATAATAAATATAATACATGATATAAAATAGAAGAGATAGAAATAATATGGAAGGGAATATACTCTATGTAATTAGAGACAGCGCATCCAATACCGTTACGGAGAAATAGAGAAGAGGGTGAAGTGAACTAGAGTACCATATGATCAGTGACGTAACTATGTTTAGAAATTTTCTTTTAAACAATAATGTTGTTCAGTTGACAACGTTACATTATAATTACATAACGAGAAGTACATTTTGGACTGGCACAAAAAAAATTGCTAGCGTTCAAAAACTATAATAAAAATGTTTTCTTTTGAACAGCATTACTTGGGGATTATTTACTTTATATGGCCTCACAGACTCTAAGTCTAAACCAGGAAAAATCAATTTAAAGAAATTATTGAAGAAAACCGAAAAAATACTTACTTTGTTTTTGATTTCGAAGTTTGGCAAACTTTGACATCCCGTATTTTCATCTAAAGAATATAATCTTAATTGTTGCTGTATAGTAGCCTTTTCCCTAAAAATAAATTTTGTTTAGTTTTAATATTAGAAGGTAGTTAATAAAATTACATGGCTCTCTTCCTTTGAAATTCTTCTTCGACCTTTTGCATGGCATCCAGTTCTCGGATTCTTTCTCGTTCCCGTTTTTCGGCTTCTTTGGATAATTTATCGGACAATCGCTTCTTTTCTATTTGACGTATTGTACTCTGGAAAGTATATTTTTTCGGTTTTCTTTTTATATTCCAAGATGGCTCTTCAGATTTCGGTTTAGGATCTTGCAACGGTTCAGGCGATTTTTTTTGCACTTCTAAAGCGATATTTTCGCAGGATTTCGATTGTATAGACCGTTTGTAATTGCTGTGGCTATCAAATAACTGCTTAGAAGTATTTTTAGAGACAAAATCTATTTCGGGTAAATACATTAATCGATTTGCTGTATTAATATTCGATGACTGATGTGTTTCTAATGTTTTATGCCTTTCTAACGAATGGATGGCGTTTGTTAAAGAATTTGGGGCTGATTTGCTCAAAAACCAATTGTTACTTCTCTCTTCTAAGAAACTGTTATTGAAAATGTCTTTCTTATTTGCTAAATTGCCCCATACGCCAGACAAAGATTTTTTGAACTTCTGTATCCCATTGTAATGACTAGAATTTACCTTTTCCGTCATATAAGTTGCTAGATGGTTCTCTCTAGGTAAGGAGAGGCTAAAAACATGTGGGCCAGCATGTGTTCTTGTCCTCTGTTTTTGAGGTTTATTAAAAAGTTCCTCTTCTGCACTAGAATCATCTAGATCTTGTTGCGGTGTCCACGATATTCTTTCTCTTTCCGTCTTAGTATGAATCTAAAAAAAAAATCACACAAGAGATTTTTGGTACTAGTTTAACTACGATATAGAGAATTTAATGGTAGGTATATATCAGCAAACAAGAAATATTCATGATTGCACACAAATCAATAATGAAGATTATAAATATAAGAGGTCCTAAGTTCGAACCCTGTAAAACTCTGGAACATATTAAATAAAATTTTACTTACAGAAATTTTATTTTCGTTTATTCTCAATTTACTAACTCTGTCATCATTATCAGCAATATTATCGTCGTCATCATCATAACAGTAGACTATCGGTACTGCGTCGTCTCCAGATATTCCAGAATCTCCAGATTTATCATTACAGGACCTAAATAAAAATATAATAAACCAAATATCACATTAACAGTAGGAAAATAAAAACGTTTACCTTTGGCCAGCATTCAGCAAAAGAGGCAGAGGTCTGGAATATTTTTCGATATGTTCTTCCATAAATAAAGGGACGTCATCAGTCATTATGGTTCCTCCAAAGCCTGTCACACCTTCAATGCCCGCTCCGGATCCTGAAACCGTTGTGGTAACCGTTTGTGTCGTTTTACTATCTTCATCGTTGGCATCCAAAGAAAGCAGTCGCCATGCTGCTGCCGGAGAAAATCTGGGTATTTCTAACTGCTTCTTTGGTAAAATCGGTCGTAGCTGCAGATCAATTCCACTTCTGAACGTGTCGTTTTCATCTGAATCTATATCGCTTGATATATCTGACCCTGAGGAATGTTCAGCATCTAAAGTATCGAAAATGTCTTCTTTGAAAAGATTTTCTCGCGAGCCTTCATTCATACCGAAGTAGAACACCTGTTTAGGCTTTAATGAATCTTTCTTAAACTGATATTTGGGTTGCAGATCCGGCGACATTTCTGGCGTTGAAGATTCTTTGCCTGAAGCTTCACCTCTTATATGTGTTACCACACTTTTCAGTTGATTTTCTTTATTTTCCTTGAACCTCATTTCTTCACGACTAGCCTCATTTGATAAATTCTTTATTTTAGTGTCAATATTACTGTCATTTTTTAAATGCTTGTCTACAGATCGACGTTGTGTAGCGTCTTTTAATTCCCTGGTAAATTCATTAAAATCCATTACCTTACCCTCTGGCAATGATAGGCGCTTCAGATTAGTCTTTACATTCATACAGTCTAAATTGCTCAAATCATCTTGAGTGTTTTCGTTTGGATGGCTAGATTGCTTTTTCGTTTCAGCTCTGGTTTTAAACAAACGCGCTTTTCTGATTGGCATTTTTGGATTTTGGTCTGTGTCGTCACTTGATCTTCTGCTTATTTTATAGTCATCCTAAAATCAATAATTTTTTAATAGAACGTAGATCTTGATTGAGTTAAGAAATAAATAAAGAGAATAATGTTTTCAAATGTTAATACAACGTATTTTTTACGATTAGTTTTGTAATTTTTGTGAATAAATTAAAAATGATTACTTTTATAAGTACAGTATAGTCCAAAATAAACAGTACTGAACTTATAATTCCTTTATTTATGCAAGAAATACGTATCATGTAGACCACCTCTTTCAAAGTTCGAAAGATCTCTTCTAATTTATTGATGGTTTGTGGTGTATTTTTAAAGACTGTCATATGTATCTGGAAAAATTTAATAGGGCCGTCGTTGACAAATTATGTCCTACTACGTAAGTACTGTTTATTTTGGGCAGTACTGTATTTTGGTACTGGTGACAAGTGTAATATTATGTTATTAATACGAAAGCACCTTTGAAACTGATATTATTAGTGTAGTATAATTAATAATGGATTTAATGCACATTTACTGACCGCAAATCCCTACTCGGTATAATTGATTAAATGCAGAATTACTAACCACAATGTTTCTCATTTTGGGTGGAGAAGGTGCTCTGTACTTTTTTTTTGATCTTTTCTCTCTAAATTCGTCATTGGTTAAGGCGTATCTTAAATCAGGTTCAGATGCAAAGAATTTCATCTGAAAAGATCAATTAATATGGTAAATTAAATGATTCATCAAATATAGGTATTTATCGAATTTACCCACCTCTTGACTAGAAAGTTTACTGTTGCTAAGTTTATGTTGTACTCCTTGAGTTCCAATTTTTCGATGATTATCTTTTTCATATTCGTTCTGCTCGTAAGAATTACGTTCATCAAAAGTTTGTAAATATCTTTTCTGCAAATAAAAACAAACAGAAGTGCTGAATTACTATAAAATTAATAAATAAATATTTAAAAAAAGCACGCGTTATATACTTTTGGTATGTGGAGTTACTATAAAATTAATAAATAAATATTTGAAAAAAGCAAGGTAGAGGTTACTGTTAGTATTGCTATAAGAGAATAAGGGGAATTAGGATATTCAACTTGAAATTTTGAGCCATGAAATTACAAGACTTTATTTTTGTGTCGGCAGATTTAAAAAAGAAAAAAAAAATACTACATTTATGCAACTTGTAATGCAGATGCGTCACTGGTGTGCTAAAAATCAAAATTCTATAAATGTGTTCTATATAATATAATCATCATCATCATGCCATTTGTTGTATTTGTTGTGTTATGATCAATGGTTGTGTTCTGTGTTTCAATTTTGAATGGCTAGTAAATTGTTCTATTCTCTTTTTTTTTTCTCAAATAGTGAAGAGTGGGGAGCGGAAGTCACAAGCCGAGGATATAACAGCAAAACAGCCCATTTATACATATAACTGGTATTTCTCGAATATTCGCGCATACACCAGAACTTGCAGCAAAGACAATCAACCGTCAGAAATTTGTGTTCCATCCAATTAAACCAGTGACGTCTCAAGCGAAATAGCGGACTTTTCAAATTAAGGAAATTAAGATTTTTGCATTATTTGTAAAATTATTTGTAAAATCAATGTACTTTTAGTTGAATTCCTTTCAAAAGGTGTAATGCAGAGAAAAAGGTAGGCAATAAAATTCCAAGACGGTCAATTTTACTCACAATTCTTTCTTCTTCTGCTGACTTGACGTGTCTCCCACTTATAGTCCCTCCCGATTGAAGAATTTCCCCATTATTTGTGGCTCTGAGCTTTAATTGTGGCCGTTTTTCCGGGAGTACCTTGTGTTGGAAATGAAATTTGGTCTGAGAACTGCAGGATCTTGGAAAGGAATGGGCCCATTGCTCTTCTTGGATGGTCTCTGTAACTGTATTTTGGCTGCCACTGTTTCCCATATCAGTACGTTGTGCGCTTTCGATGATTCATATTCTGAAGAAAAATTTAATCGGGATAAATACACAAGAAGTTTTTTTATCAGACGGTTTTTGCTTAGCAATTCAAGGAGATGAACAGTCGCCTAGCAAAATCGCGACACCGTCAGTGGAGCGATTTTGGGGCGACAGTTTTTTGAGTCAAATTGTTTTAAGACAGAAAGCTAGAGTCAAGGAAACGGAAATTTGTTCAGAGTGTAATTTAGGAAGATCATTTTGTGACTGATTCATACGTAAAACGTCACAGATGATTTAACGAACTTTATTACTATAAAATATTTGTTGTAACAACAAAGAAATAGATGCAAGTAGGTAAATATAATGCCAAATATAATTGTAATCTCGCAGAATATTGGCAATTTCAGATATTGCAGTCTCTGTCAACAATAAATAATAGTTACGTACCGAACAAAATGACATAAACCGCCTTTATTTCTTGTGTTCTTAGAAACTATAGATATACGGCTAAGTGATATTATTTGTCATATAAAAGGAAGAGCGAGTTTTATCAAAGGTAATACCACGAGTTCTCCAAATTTAATGGATACAATTTAAAAGGACGGGAGGTATTTGAAAAGATTATTTTTTGAATCATTTTGTATGAAAAAGACACAATAAATATATTTGGAAGTGTTTATTAAATATATAATTATTTGTGCTGTTTCTTGTGCTTTGGTAGATACCAAAAACTGATTATTTACAATTTATATGGTAACATATTTTTATCAGATAATTATGTGTTTTTATTAGCTATAAGAAAAATCGATTTGTTATTTTATTGTTTAGTAGAGAGTAAACAAAGTAAATTTAGATAAAATAACGATTCATTAGCTATCAAGAATGGCTATAATGTCAGTATTGGTCATTAGAAATTACAACAGTTTGCTTCAGGTAGTTAGATAATATTTTACATGTACAACCTGATAACTACATTGCGTTCGCATGTTTTTTTAAGTAATTACACCTTGTAATAATGAAAATCACTAAAAAGCCGACATCCGATAGAAATTCTGTATTGTATACTGTTTCGTAAAGGTGATTTAAACAGAATAAAACATGTTTTTGGGAGGGAAACTTTTAGATAAACTAAGGCTACTGGGAGTGTGGGAGGAATATGGAATACTCCTAATTTAAAAGGAGGTGTCCAGGGAAAATTGTATTTTAGACTGTTTTTAGAGTTAAAAAAACACTAAAAGGTTAAGCCGCTTTCGTTTGACATTTAATTGTTGGTTAATTATGAAAAGTAAGTATACACGGTGATTCATTAAGGGTGGCGACCGGCCGTATCTCAGAATATCTTAAAGTAGAATTTTTTTTGAAAGAAACGCAAAAACAGGTCGATTTCTGTTTCAAGTGGAACACCTTTCTATAATATCCTCAACTGTCATATATCATTCCTCTCCCTTACGTCAAACTAACCAATACAATTTAAATAGGGAAAGTACCAAGAATGACACATCGTCGGAAAGGTAACTTTATGGGGAATTCAACAATATGACTGTTCATTGTGTTCCTTTTAATTTTAGCGCCCTCTAGCGGGATAAAAAAATTATTACCTATGGTAAAGTGTGACACTTTATTTGAAAGCTAATTTTATTAGTAATTTAATACACTACGTATTATTTTGTTAACTATTTCAAAAATGAACTTAAAAGGAAAAAGAATGCAGTATTACTAAATTTATTTTGTTGCAAGTGTGACGTGGAGATATCTAGGATAATGTTATGTGGTGCATTGGATTACTAATAAAATTAGCTTTTACCATAGATAATTTTTTAACCCTCTAGAAAGCGCTAAAATTAAAAGGAACGCAATGAACAGTCGTACTGCTAAATTCCCCATAAAATTATCTTTCCGACGATGTGTCATACTTGGCAGCCCCGGATCTAGGGGGGCAAGACGGACCCCGGGCGCGGAAAATTCAAAGGGCGGCAAATTCAAAGGGTGCCAAATAGTAAAATAATTTTTTTTTCATAAATAGGGTTTTGAAATCAATTCATATATAATCAAAATTTATTTGAATTCTATCTGCGTTGAAATATTAAAAATCCTAACTCAAAAACAAATAACGATAACAACTTGAAATCATCATATTACAAGCATTATATATCTTCATTCTAGTTTCGCTTTAATATAGGTAACTAAAGACTAACGATATTTTAATTAATTCTAAGATGATTAAAAATAAGCAAAGTTTAAAAAAGTACATTTAAAACTATTTCCTAGCATTAAAAAAAACAATACTTGTACAAACAAATTACTGATTGTCACTGCCTGTGTATGGATAAGCGATGAAAGCTGTGTGTTTGAAGCAGAACCAAATAAGTGCTAATAAGGTATGCCCATATTCATTTATACCGAAGCATATTCAAGAATGAATCTGACGTTCGCATATTATACGGTTTTAAAGTTTGTATGCGATTTCTATTTCTTGATAAAAATCCATACATATGGCTAGCTTTTGCTACAATGTTGTTGATATGAGATACAAATGTTAGATTTAATCCATATGTTCCTAGGGGGTGCTTTAACAAGGAGTGGATTACAAACCACCCCCTAAAAATACGTGAATTCAATTTAGGAATTAGCTCCTTGTCAAACCACCTTCAGAAGTACAAGTAATGAATTAATAATTCCTATATTAAGTCATGTCTAATTTTTTTACACTGAAATAAAAGTAAAAAATTGTATCATATTCCAAAATAAAAAACATGAGGTGCTATTTGAAAAATGAATATTTGTGATGGTTCAATAAGAGTTTTGATTTGAGTTCATCCTGTAAAATATTTCTTCGTCTTATATACAACATATTATCTTGTCAAATAACTTTGATATGGTGTTGCCATATTCTAATAATTATTAGATTAAATTATTTATGTATGTTAAAATAATGCAGAATAAATTTTCGAACAATTTCGGGTTTTCAGTTGATTGATTTAATGATAAATTGAGGGAATTCAAATCGAAATCGTAGCAGTAGAAGTATGTAGGCTGTCGCAATAATTTAAGATAAAATGCTATCCGTTAAAGAATACAAATAAAAAGTGAAAATGAAACTTCGCTCAAGGCTTCCTTGAACTGCTAGAGAGAATTATATACCATCAACCATCACCATCTTACCGTATGTGTATGCATTTCGGTAACTTTCATTATTGTAACCGGAAAGAACACACCTAAGTGTGAAAGTGATTCTAATCGACCAAAATGAAGATGTTCTCTTCTTGTTTCTTCATAAACGTTCTTTAATCACTCCTTATTCGAAAAATACACAATGACGACGATGTGAAAAGGTTTCCCTACAGAAGAAAACAAGAAATTCCGACAAAATTTAGAATAGTAAAGAGCACGTAATTTAATAAGATTAAATTATTTAAAAATGCGGTCGCCGAGGGGTAAATTTATTAGAGAAATTGTTTACCCAGAAATTTCGCTTTCAGGAATTCCGAAGAACTTCCGGGACTTCCAGGACAATAATAATTCATATTAAAAGATTCTTTCAGTTTATAAAATGAGTTATTTGATTGTCATATTTGTACAGTTTGTTAACATAAACGCGAGGTCGTTCTAAGTTTGATTTGACGTAAATTAAAAGTTCTAGAGTAAAAAATTCAAGAAAGTGGCAAAATTTGGTGCTCATTAAATTTTTATTTAATAAATGTCTATAACTTAACGATGCTACTTTTTACGGCATTTTTGCAGCCTACAAACAAGTAAATGATCCCAAAAAATAGTGATACTCCTATGCCTAAAGAGTGCAAAGTATACAGAAGAAAATTTTTTATGCAGTATATCATTATATATTTCTCAACTTATTGAATTATTAATGTGTAGACTAAACTTTATGTATTGATTTACTACCTATGCACATTAGATGGCTTGATGGGTCTCATAATAATCATTTTTCCTGGGAGTAAAATAAATAAATAATAAATTTATATAGTTTTTCCTTATTAACAAGTTTATTTTTCTCGAACAAATCGGGCGAATGAAAATAAATGACGTCAGATGTGAAAATCTGTCCATAGCAGAGCAGTGTTCTTCTCAAGTTCAAGGATAGTATCTCGGGAAATATATGCATTTGTAGTTTGAAATTTAGAAATAGGTACTTACATAACATTAAAAAAAGAAACAGATCGAACTAAAGTCCTATCTCGTTTATTTATAATAAATTGAATTATTCCAATCAAGATTAATGTACCAAAAAATATTTTTTTTTAACGAGATCTATGTCGATTGCTTTGGGTTACTAAAATTAAATTTCAATATACAGGGTGATTCATTACTAATTGGAAATATTTCAACTACAGAACCCTGAGCTCAAATTATGAAGATTTAACCCAAATCACCTAGAAAAAATGTTACAGGGTGTTTTGTTTAAAAATTTAAAAATTATTTCTGTCCAGTACTTTAAAACTATTTGACGTATTATTGTCATATTTGGCGGGAAGTGTAGATACTATACACCCTACTAAATTATGTTAAATAAACGTTTTTTTCACGTTTACTCCTTAATTATTAATTTATATTGTATAAATTCACTCTTTTTATTTTTTTTATTAAATGTATTAAATTTTCTCACTTTCTGTTATTTGCCAGAACTCATACAGATAACTTTAAGTACCAGAGACGGACTCAATTAAACAGGGCATATAAAATCAGATAAGTTTTCCAAGTTACTCAAAAACTTGGAGGCGCTCAACATTTTTGTCGTTACCGCATTATAGTATCTTTCATTTTATCGTAAAGTAGACTTTGGCCCGCGAACAGGTCAAGCTACTCTGATTTTATTTTTCCTGGCCAATTTATGAATCCACGCAGTATCAGCAATTTGAGCTGAATCACCTCTTAAGTACAATTGACATCGTAGAAATCAAAAAAAGAAGGTAACATTCTATAGTTGAAATATTTCCAATTAGTAATGAATCACCCTGTATATCCAATATGACACCGTTTAGTATAAAATGTATAACTTTTCAGTTATTACTTTCAAATAGCGCA